CGGCAGAGAGAAAAGTGGGCTCCATGCAGGGAGCCCAATGTGGGACTTGATCCCAGAACTGCAGGATCACGCCCTGGGCCAAAGGCAGATGCTCAACCAGCTGAGCCACCCAGGCATCCCCAGAAAACCACGTTTTTATGGAAGATTTAGTTCTCAGGCTGGACCTTGAAGAATGATATGATTAGGATAAGACCATTGGGTAAAAGTGGGAGAACCCACACAATGATTGGATAGGGTCAGATTATGACAGGCCTCGGAATTCATTGGCCAACCACTCATGCCCTGGATGGCACTGGGGAGCCATTGAAGGTTTTGAGTCAAGAGTATCCTATGGAAGATAATACTCATGACAGGTTAGCCGAGTAGCAGTGAATGATAAAGATAAAGGAGGGAAAGAGGAGTGAGGGAGGACAAGAAGGGGATGAGGGCAGGACAGGTGGTAATCTATGATCAATCATGCCTTTGAGCCTGTTATCAAGTCTTGTTGATCTCTCCCTTGAAATATCTCATCCCCACTCCTTCTAGGAACTATATCATTCATCCAAGGAATAGGTTTTCCAGCTGGGTTGAGTGGAAGGCAGATGCCACTGACAGAGGTAAAGAAGTCGAAATTGAGAACCAGTGTGATTGATGACAGAGAATAAATCTGATTCTTGGCACTTGGGATTTGGGGTAATAACTGAATGTTCAAGTAGAAAAGTAAAGTTGAATTGACTTTTTCAACATGACTAGAAGCAACTTTTCTACTCAAACAACATGAAATTGGAGAGTCTAACCAAAATCAGATAGAGGGTAAAAAAAGAAAAAATTGAACATACTCTGTCACTCTTCTTTTTTCTCTTTTGATGTGTAAATTACCATGTGGGGGAACTGAGTATATTTGCATAGCTTGTATTTTCTTCAGCATGGGAAATGATAAACGGAATTATGATGGAAATGTTATATAAGTTTGTTACACCAAAATAAAAATAAGTGAGTAGGGAATGCAAAATGCTGGATTATGTGGGTAAATATTTTTACTTTTCAAGGGGCATGATTTGAAAAACTTATACCTATTAGGTCACCAGAACCTATAAATGGATTTATGACTAATATAAATGATACTAGGATGGTGCCAAGCATTATTTTAACTATTTGGAAGGAAGATAAATCCTCAGAGGGGAAACCATCTTCCATTCCACCCATAAAAACTAGAGGAAAGGGCAGCCCGGGTGGCTCAGTGGTTTAGCGCCTCCTTCAGCCCCAGGTGTGATCCTGGAGACCCGGGATCGAGTCCCACATCAGGCTCCTCTGCCTGTGTCTCTGCTTCTCTCCCTCTCTGTGTCTCTCATGAATAAATGAATAACATCTTAAAAAAAAAAAAACTAGAGGAAAACTTTACCAGACCACGGGCTTATCATGTTCAGCTTGGAGGGCCAATCTTGCCTGATTTCTTCATTCAAGAAGCCTCCTGAAGATGCTTGCCCTGTTTCTCAATTATTAGAGGATCCCTCACCCCCTCACCTTTTGGGTTCTCTCCCCTTACTTTTATCTCCTCCCTCTTGTGCCTTATTGGTAATAGCTCTAAGGCAGTAGTTATGAAAGGGTTAGGACATTTTTATTTGAAGCGAAGATGAGTATGTGGCTTGGGAGGGAAGGGAAAAGACTAAATAAAAAGAAGTGACTCTAAGCTGTTAGGAAAGAGACCATTAATAGCAACATCTTGATTTCGTTAGAAGGCGAGCTGAAGCCATCTGAAGCAGGCAGGGAACTAGGTGATAATAAGAGAAAATGTGTTTTTCAGACAAAGGAGTAGACAGCAGGGGACAGTGGTTCAGGGAAGGAGGCGGCCATCAGGGAGAGTGTGCAGAGAGGACGTGCTAATCCCTCTGAATCGTACCAGCGGAGGCTCGGGGCCGTTTGAACTCCTTGGCAGCTGCAGCCTGGTCTCAAAGTGCATCGTGAGGAATGAGAACAAAAGAAAAGTTCACTGCGAGTTCCTCTTGTCAAAGCAGGGGAAATTGCTTTGAGACCAGCACTGGGAGATGCTAATGGTAGAAAGCGAACCAGGTAAAAGAAGAAAAAAAAATGTGCCAGGTCACTGGGAGCCTGCCTGGCGTAGGGCGAGATAAAGCCACCACTGACAAGACATTGAGCCCAGGTCCCACCACGCACTGCCGTGCGAGTCACTTCTAACCAGTGCTCAGCTGGTTACAGTCTGAAGAGAAGGCCTCAGCTGCTCCAAGAATATCTGTTCACTTGACAAACCATAATTGAGCTCTCACTGTGTCAGCCAGGACTATTGCCTTTAATGCTGGAAGGTGCAATAGCAGCCCTGATGTCCTGGTACCAACTGGTTCTGTGAGTCAGAAAGGATCATTGGAAAGTGAGTACTGGGAAAATCACTGACCCGGAAGGGTTAGATGTTGAAGAGCCAAAGTTGTTAACTGGAAAGAAACATGTGTCTGTTTAAACTCCTGGAGAGGAAAGAACCCACTGACTGCTGCCCTTCCTTCTCCAGGCCGAGCAGTTCTCATCCATAAAATTGGCTGAAGAGGATGATGCATTCCTTCCCTTTGAGCAGCTTTAGAATGGTGCTGGGAGTTCTCTGGGGATCGTGCCGTGGAGTCGGGACAACATGGGGATCTCTTAATGTGGGGATCTGTAATCAGTGCAGGAGCTAGAAACCAGAGGTGCTTTTTCTGTATGTTGTGACGAGTCACTGAGAAAATTCCAAAAGCCAACGATGTCAGAAAGCTTTCCCTCCAAATTCTAAACCTGAGGCTGCAAACTCGGCACACTTGGGTTTTGTTAAGTTTCTGAAAATCCAGATTTTGGGCTTCGCTGAGAGATGGGACGATAAGACAGCAATGGTCCCACGTCAGCAAGTGGTGAGAGGCGGGTAGCAGCTGTCCCATTTAGAGGAGGCACCTGCTCTCTGGCTTGACCATCTCTACCACTCATAATGGTGACCATATAATTTGTCATCCAAACTAGGCCATTTTTGAAAGTAAAAGAGGGTGCTGTTGGTAATTATGCCTGGGTGCACAGACACAAATCAGGGCTATTAGGGACAATGAGGACGTATGGTTACCCTAATTCATGTTGCTTACGCTGGGCTTGCTTTTCTTTTTTGCCCACTGTTATCTGGGTTATGTGGTCATGAGTCAGGGACTCTCCTGAGAAAGAAGGAGAGAAAAGGTGTAAAATAAGGATGAGATCTCAAAGTTGAAAAAAAGGGAAAGGAATGAAAAAGAATATTAAAATGAATGCCAATTACACAAAACCTTCAGGTAAAGGCAGAGCCTTGCTGGTGGCTGGCTCAGCATGTAAGTTTGACCTTCCCGGCTCCCTGCCCTCCACAGCACTGTCAGTTTTAATAAGCTGTAATCCCATAGCTACGAGCGAGACTAATCAAACTGCAGAGAGCAGCCTGTTCCTAATCAGGAAGGCACAGGATAATCATTTAACTCTGTGGTTTCTCAGTGAGCTCCAAGCTGCCTCGACAGGGAAAAAAAAAAAAAAAAATCCTGGATAAGATAGTTGCTTACACACTCTAATCTTGACCTTTTGATGGTCTTTGTTTGAAATTTTTATGAAAATGCTTTAATTACGCAAGTCTTTGGCTCAAAAAATATTTTAGAAGAATCTTTTCCCTTTATTCCCAGAGAATAATAAAGTATCACTCCCTCAAGGCATTTAGGGCACCTCCCACTGATTCCCTGAGTCCACTTGAACTGACTACAGACCTCAACCCTTTCACCACCACGCAGTGTGATTATAGTCCCCAGACTGGGGGTGGGAGAAACGGGGATGTGGGATGGCAACTCATGTTGAGCACCTAACAGGTGCCAGCAGGGAACTGTGGGCTACACATGCCAGGGCCAGCCATTCCCTGTTGGAGTGGGTGCCAGGCAGCGGAGCTGCAGTGAAGCTCCAGAAGCACCCCACACCTCAGGGTCACACGGTGCTTGTATCTTCTCCTCCTTTCTCTTAGCACCTTTCAACCCAGGGGCAAGTCACAAGAGGCTATTTAGTGCAATGGTTAACTGCAGAGTTTTAGTAGTTGCAGATGCAGCTAAAGTTTAGCTGACTAGTGGTAGGCCCTTAGGCAAACTACTCAGCCTTCCAGGAGTTCTGGTAGGCCCTCAGGCAGGCTCCTAAACCTTCCTGAAACTCAGTGCTTAACAAAGGAATAATAACAACACCTCACCTCATAACCACGCTCTGAGGGTCAAGGAGATCTATATGGAAAATGTTTACTAAGGTGCCTGGTACATTAAAAATGCTCTCCATAGGTTATGGTTATTATTATTTTTATTATATGCTAACGTGGCCTTAAGGCCCCTATTTCTATAATTTAGAGAGACAGGTACATTGCTGAATCTCCTTGGGTTCTGCATTTAGTGTGAGTGCACTTAAAACAATGACCACAGATGAAATAAATGTAGGAAAAAATTCTCTTCCAATGGAGAACATTGCTAGTACCATGGAAATTTAATAGTTTATTTAATAGACTTGCTACTATTTACAGGAAACAAGACAGTATATTTTTTTAATTAAAAATGTTTATTGGCTATCGACTTTAATAGGCTTACATTAAAGGAAAAAAAACATTTTTTTCAAATGTGCTAATAAGAAAAAGACCCATAAAAATGAACAATGTTGAGCAGAACATTGTTCAGTGTTTTGAACATAAATAAAACTCATAAATTTTATATGGATTCTGGGATATTAATACTCCTCCAACAATGGATTTAGCGTTGAACAGGAATATAAACATATGAACAAATCTAATCCAATTTATTTCAAAGCAAGCAGATCCTTGAGAGCAGAAACTCTTTCATAACTACCCTTGCCATTCGTGGAGGAGAGATTATAGGAATGTCATGGACATACCTAAACCATCAAGAAAAGAAAAACATATAGATACCTAACACATAAAAATATAGCAACCACATAATAATTAAAAACAATGTTCAGTAATCCCCACTGAAATGACCAGACAGAAAGACATAGCCTAAGAATGCAAAACACATATATTACACGCTCCTAAAAAAAACAAAGGCATTTTTTGGTTCTGTTGGTTGTTTTTACAAAAACTTATGTATGAAGTCTTACAGAAAATATGACAAACATAGAAAAGCCCAAAGAAAATAAAAATCACCTGTCACACTATCAACATGTATGTCACTTCTTTGGTGAGAGCAGAAAAAATTCATAGAATCAGAGGTGATCCAGGAAGGTCTTCCCAGCCTCAGGATCTGCTGGTGCCAATTCACCAACCACTTCAAAATTCACAGGCCAAACCTCTTTCTAGGCTTTCAAATATCTCTACTGTTGCCTGATTCCTGGCACCACTGCATTTTTCACCAGGCCAACAGTGATCAGTAAACAAGGACACAAGGAGGCTACGACTAAAGTTTTTTATCCACCCCCGCCCCCCGCCCATTACAGCTATACAGAATCTTGGAAGTTCATGTAGTCCTACCCACCCTGCCTGTCCTTGTCTGTTCAGGAGGAAATCGGCACGGAGAGGTTAAGTGATTTGCCCGGGTGTCACAGCTGAGTAGAGCTGAAACCCAGTCTTCCAATTGCCAGGCCAGGGCTCCATCCAAGTGAACACATGGTGAATGAATCTCCCCAAGTGATGGGGCTATAGTTATTATGTGCTTAGACTATTAATGAGCCTGAAGGGCAGACCACCGTGGATCTGCACTACTGGACGAAAGCATCTAGGCAAACTTGCAGCTCATAACAGGCAATTGGATGGGCTCTCGGGAGTCAAGTCACACACAGGTCATGTGGTCAAATGAAGGCCAACTGAACACCGGAGCATCAAGTGAGCCCCGTATTCCATGAAGATGCGAGTCTGGGTAAGTCACAAGAGCCTTTTCTGACTGACAGCAGCAGTGAGCAATTGGAAAGCAGAAGTGTCCAAGACACTCCTGAGAATATAAGGATTAAAACTAGGAAACTCTTAAATCAGCCAGGTTCCTTTTACAGTCAACAGCCATGTGTCTACAGAAGTCATGCTTCTCATGACCATTCATCTCTTTCCAAGCTCTAATCCAACTCAGCAAACCCACACAATCTCATCACCCTTGCTTCAAGGCTGTCTCTTCACAACTAAAGCTTTTGTCTTTGACTAAATGAATCTCCATTGACTGAAAGAGTTAGCACTGAAATATTAAAGGTCATGGTTCAATTTTTTCTATCAGTGGGGGGTCACTTAAATCCTTAGAAGAAATCTCTTTTGCCTCATGTGGGCAGAGTCTGGTATAAACGTTCCTTATTTGAGCAGATGTTATTCTCAAATATAAATGATTAAAGCTAAGATCATCTCTTGTTCCCTTCTTCCCACATTATAACAGTGGGACAGGCTCAGTGTGAAGAGTCAGACTTGCGTATGCCAGGTCTCAAGATGCTTGCCTGCAGATGAGCTCTTTCAACTGTGCCAGTCTGTCGCTTTTTAGTGCTTCCCGGATGGAGTGGAAAAATCCAAAATAGTGCTCAAAGTTGTGCATCATAAGCAGGACCCCAGCCAACAGTTCGTTGGTCACCAGCAGATGGTGGATGTACGCACGAGTATGATTCTTACAGCAGTAACAGGAACACCCTCTCACAAGTGGATCAAAGTCCTCCTGGTACCTGAGAAAAGAAGTTTCAGTGATACTCCAGAAAATAGGGAATACGAGAAACCCACAGCCTAGGCTCTCTATTTATTCTGTGGGTACATAACCAATAATTAATAACATCACTGGCAAATGTGGCGCTGGTCACCTGCTTAGGATGACAGTGTGGTGAAAAGTTAACCTAGAGCACAACAAGTCAGGAGATTCGGGAGTCTTCCCCTGACAGACATAACCTCCTGGACTGAGGCTTACACAAGAGCAGCAAGAGAGTCACGTGGTCACTCCCGCATGCTGAGCTTCGTTAGTCACACTGGAATGGCACACCATGGCAGTAAATGCTGTTCTGATGAATGACACACTTCTCCCACTCGCCACCAGAACTAGTATAGAAGACATGGTACAGCCTTCTACTTGCAGAGCTTTTCGTGATTTGCAAAGCACTCAGACATACACTGTCTCACTTAATCTCTGCAACCATCTTTGAAAACAAGCATTTTTATTGTCATTTCCCAATGAAGACTTACCTGGGGGGGAGGGTCGAGAGGAAGGGCTCCAGAGCTACCGTGCCTAGGTATGATGCCCAGCTCATAACTCACTTTGGTGAGTCAAAAACACTCCAGCACAAAAGTGAGAATATTAAACTCACAGAAAATTTACTCAGTGGCTCACTAATAATTACTACTTTGGGCCAAATACAAAGTTACAAGATTTCTTCATTTTTTACAGAGGAAAATATTTTATTAAGATTTATAACCTGTATATAACTAAGATAACTTAAATTCCTTAGAATTGAAACACTTTTGTTTTTTATCTTGAAATCTTTATTTTGCTCTGACATTATTTAAAGTAATCGGAAAGAGTAAAAGACACCAGACAATGGATTTGGTCTAATCTTTCTGACAGTCCTTCTAAAACAACAGTTATCTAGCCTTGGTTTTCTGACAGGACAAAGTACACAAATTCATCTGCAGAAAAAAAGAGTTTCTGGAACTGAATTTAAGAAGGCCCAAATAATATTCAACTATAAATATTTTATGAAGTCATAAACTGAAAAGGGAACAGTTACATAAACTTTTAAAACAGACTGAAATTACAAAGTCAGATATCAAAATCTAAAAAAATTCCTTACTTTTTTTCCTTCAGATTAATTTCAAATGATGTCATTTCTTGGTTGCAACTGGTTGTTTTAATTTTCTTTGTCTGATCCACATATTTTATTTCTTCCTGTGTCCCATTTTGTTGTAATACTGAAGGACAAACCAATAAAAAGTCTTGAATGAGAATCAGATAAAGACTGGCTTTTGGGAGATTATTTTACATACATTTTATGCTCTTTGACCCTGTCATTCCACTCATAAGAATTTATCCTAAGGAAATGACACCAGAAAAGTAGTAATATGGACCAAGATGATCACGGACATATTCTCCATAATATCACAATTTGGGAGATTCAACAATGTCTAAGCAAATTATGGTTACTAGTACATAATATATAATCTTACTGTCAAGGAGTTTTTTTAAGAAAATAGTTGAGAGGGCAGCCCAGGTGGCTCAGCAGCTTAGCTCTGCCTTCAGTCCAAGACCTGATCCCGGAGACCCGGGATCGAGTCCCACGTCAGGCTCCCTGCATGGAGCTTGCTTCTCCCTCTGCCTGTGTCTCTGCCTCTCTCTCTCTCTCTCTGTGTGTCTCTCATGAATAAATAAAATCTTAAAAAAAAAAAAAAAACAGTTGAGAGTGTAAGAGTGTGTGTGTGTGTGTGTTTGAGAGAGAGATAAATTTGTGTGTGTATATCGGAGTTATGCCTTCTCATCATTATAGGCAAATTAATTGTGCTTTGTAACTACTTATGTTCCAAATAGATTAAAAGAAGAATATGTTTTTGTTTTTTTTTTGTTTTTTAAAGAAGAATATGGTTTTAATTTATGTATTCCATTTGGAGACCCTAGCCTCCAGGGAACTCAGATTATCCAGAACTAAATGGGGACTTGGGTTGTTCCCTTGAACTCTTTAAGAAAGAACACTTCTGATATATATGGGAAACACCAGTTCTATGCAAAGAGCCAGCTGTCTTGAACAGGGGCAAGTAGAGAAGTATTATCGGAAGGAGTAATAACAAACTCAGGGTCGACCCAAAGAGAATGGGCAGACAGTCCTAAGAAGGTAATTTTGTCCAGATCAAAGGAAAAAGAGACGTGACCTGAGCATTGAGCACTGGGCTGTTTTAACTTTGCTGCCATGAATTTGCATGCTGATGTGGGAAACCACAATAATGCCCTGGCTTTTTGGAAAATCCTTGTCAGTAGGGGGAACTATATTGGTTCCTGTATTTGGCAACTTATTCTTTTGTAATTTTCACTTTGTAATTGGCAAAAGATTTTAATTTACCACATATATACACACAAATATGATTAACAATACTACTCTAATGGAAAATGTTCAAACTATTTCATTTTTCCTAATCATGAAGAAAACAGCTTTCTCTAGCCAAAAAGGAATTTGTTTATTCCAGAGAACTCAATATCAGGTTGTTAAGTTTTAAATATTCACGGTACAGAATGACTAACAGTTATCCAAGTCCTTGTGGAAATAAGTAAGCTTATAAATGAACATTTATAGTGTTTGTGGTATGCTTTTTTATTCATATACATTATATTCTGGTCAATTTAAAGGACAGCAAAACTGACCTCCTATATATAATAATTTGACCAATCGGATTTTGTTTCCAGAAGTAATTCAATTTAGACTGATGGTTAGGGGGCTTTACAAAAACTGTAACATCTTTTGGATGAAATTTTAATAACTTGTGGGGAATAAAATGAATCTTTAAGGAAGCCTCTGGCCCAAGTTATACGTAGGGCCGGCGGTAATAAAGAGTTCCAAGGACAACAGGAAGCAGGAAAGGAAAGCACACCTGTGAAGGCCAGAGGGCAGACTGGGCGTGCAAATGTTCTCCAGAAAAACTGGCTAGATGCTCTAAGGGATCCCAGCCCAAAGCTCACATCCCAATTCTTTTTCTACTGTCAATTAAATGTCACACTTTGAGACTGATTTTCTTGACTTCGGAATAAGCAATACAAGAAAAGCAATATTAGCAGAGGAAAACACCTCTCCTACCTCTTTGTGAAATAAACAAACAAATAAATAAATGGCCCATAAAAGCATAGGGCAGCCTGGGTGGCTCAGCGGTTTAACACTGCCTTCAGCCCAGGGCATGATCCTGGGGACCTGGGATCGAGTCCTGCGTCGGGCTCCCTGCACCCTGCATGGAGCCTGCTTCTCCCTCTGCCTGTATCTGCCCCCCCCCCGCCTCTGTGTGTGTGTGTGTGTGTGTGTGTGATGAATAAACAAATAAAATCTTTAAAAAAAAAAAAAGCAAAAGTAACACTAGGATCAGAAGGGGTGAGACTCTGTATTTTGATAGCATGTGGTTTGCAAAAAGCAGACGAGCTCTTTTGTGAAAAACTGAATTAACTTTTACTAAGTAGTTCAAAGGTGTTCTGTTCTTAGACTTGCATCACTATTCACTCTGAATGTTCTTTTTTCATATTGTTAATAGAAAGGGTTGTTTTTCTTGGTTCTGCTCACCATAAAATGACTTCCTAGTATTGATGAGCTACGGTATAGCACTAAGTACCAGTGTTGTGTGCCGACATGCTAGAGCATACAGACAACAAATAAACATGTAGTTTTATAAAAGGCTGGTGTTATAGTATGCACATATTTCTGGCTTGTGACTCAAGGCAATAATGAAACGGAAATAGAAGAAACTTGAGGATAACACCGAGACTAACTTCGGAAGACCTACGTGTCTCTTCAGGGTTCGGGTGGTAATCAAAGCTGAAAGTCAGGGCACATCCCCGCTCTGTCACTTGATAAGGGAAAAAACTCTCAAATATGTCCACTCCCCTTTCAATACACTCGAGCACCTCATCTGGCCGGCTGACTCCACAGATAAGCCTATACAAGAAAGAACAAGAACAGTGACATGAGGACAATGCCAGGAACAGAAGCAGAGGCTTTCCAGAGAGCATTAAAAGTAGTAATAATGAGGGTGCCTGGGTGGCTCAGTTGGCCAAGCTTCTGATTTTGGCTCAAGTCATGATCTCAGGATCCTGGGATCCAGCCCTGAGTTGGGCTCTATGCTCAGCGAGGAGTCTGCTTCTCCCTCTTCCCCTCTTTCCCTGCCCCTCCCCCTGTTCATGCTCTCTTTCTCTCAAATAAATAAATAAAATATTTTTTAAAAAGTAGTAATAACAAAGCCCACCAATCACAGTTGCATGGCACGTAACAGATAATAAGGTATGGTAGAAAGAACATGGGATTTTGGCAACAGAGAGACCTGGGCTCTTATTGTGCTACTTTGGGAAGGTTTCTTAACCACTCTGGGTTTTAGTTTTCTAATCTTAGAAACAAGAGCAGTAATACAGGGGGATCCCTGGGTGGCGCAGCGGTTTGGCGCCTGCCTTTGACCCGGGGCGCGATCCTGGAGACCCGGGATCGAGTCCCACGTCGGGCTCCCGGTGCATGGAGCCTGCTTCTCCCTCTGCCTGTGTCTCTGCCTCTCTCTCTCTCTCTCTGTGTGACTATCATAAATAAATAAAGATTAAAAAAAAAAAAGAGCAGTAATACAGACCTCAAAGATTTGTTGTGAAGATTAAGGAGATATTTGAAAAAGCAAACAGTGGAGTTTTGGGTCCCAAAGAGAAGTGCAATGTAGTTTCCTTTCCCCTCCCATTCCTTCTAAACAACCTCTCTAGTCTTCAACTGAACTTTATAGCCTATCTGTCACTACACAGATTTTTTTTGAGGGTACAAAGCTATATGTCAACTATATGTCAAATTTTTTTAAAAAATTTTTTTATAGAGTGCAAAGCTGTGTGCTTTATTTCCCCTTTCAAAACTTTCCATGTTTTAACTGTATTTTGCCTAGGAATTCTTTTTTATAATTGGTTCAAAGAAAGACATTTTTTTATCTACTGTAGTCTTCATAGATTCAGTTACAAAGCAACTCCAGCTCTCAGAATTTCAACTCTGCCCGTAAGATCTGAGACTACTTGGCTTTCTTTATTCTTCTTTTATTTTCTCCACTAATAAAAAGTCTGCATGGTGGAACGAGATGGTATTTTCAGAGGTAATAGGTAAGGCATTCTGGGAGTGATCATGCCACTCAACTAGGTTTTGCCACTGAAACAAGAGGGGGAGGTGCTCTAGATCAGGGCTGGCTGGCTGGCTGGCTGCTATTTTTTTATGTTTGTTTTTCTACCCATAGTCCCTTTTATGAACTGGCAGAGAAAAGCTTACAGACTCCCTGATTTCTAGGAGATGTCCAAAAAAGGCTTATGTAATATTAAACAACCAGAACACTTAAATAGATGCCGGTTTTTCTGACTACAGTTTCCTTCAACTAATGTAATGTTTTAGAAGTCCTCTCCAACTGAAGCTGGCATTTCTGCACACGTAGAGAATGAAAACAATCCCAGCCCTCAAATCCAGTAACAGACATCTGTGAGTACTTAGCTCAAAGAAGTTCAGAAAATGACTAGAAACACTAGTGCTGAACTGTTATCTGCACCAGAACAAAATCAGCACAGGAAGGGGAGCAAAGGACACAGGAGAGCTAGGTCAAAACTGTGGACCAAGTGCTGCTGGAAGTAGCCCATTCTGGCTGATGTTTTCAGGGTTACATATGAACATAAAAATTCATTAAACTGTATATAAGATTCATACATTTTATTGCAAGTTATACCTGGATTTTTTTTAAGTGGTAAAATTGACATATACTATACTAAACAGCCCGAGGGCATAAAGTAGCATTCTATAACCAAACTTCTTGATAGATCTATACGAAAAAAGCAAGAATATTCATACCAAGTTGTATGAAAAACTAAGGATTGAAAACAAAAAAAGAAAAAAAAGAAAAACGTGGGTAGTCTAATAAGACATCAGTGCATTCAGAACTTTGGGATTTTGAGCTCTGAATCTTGCATATCATTTCTCTACACCAGTAAGTACACAGTGAACCTTGTGTGTAAGGAAAGAACCAGTCCCGTCAATGTTGCCAGTCCTCTTGATTTCAAAAAGTGACTTAACTACCTGCCTCAAATCTAAGAACTTCCTCAACATCCTTATTATTACTACAGCCCACCTTCATTTTGCTGGGCACCCCAGATCTGTCCTCAACTTTCCTTGATTAAGGCTAGAGTTCCACATGATTTTACACCTGTTCCCAGGCACCATGTTAAAATGAATAAAGAATAAAATTGGCATTTGGCACAAAAATGAGGGGAAACAGTATAACACTTGCCCTCACTTAAGAGGATCAAATAAACTAATTCACACAGCAATTGCACTCATCTATGTTGTGAAATCAAAGGCAGGACATCTGTGATGGAAACTCTCCCGTGAGCTGCCTTAGCAGACTCCACACAGAAAGGACATAATCAGATCATCAAAAGACATGCCCAGTGTAGAGACTCCACATAATACACAATCACCAGCACTCCTGCTCTGCAGCCCACAAGGTGTGGCCTGCATCCTAACTGAACACTAGCCTTGGCTTGTCCTCCGGCAGTTCTGCAGTGACCGATGACAGCAAGTACAGTCTAGTTTCCAAGGTTGCCGGATTCCCTTGAAAGCCATCCAGAAGGAAGCCACCTACGGGACGCTTGGCCGTCTCTCGTGCTGACCTCAGTCTCTCCTCCATCACATCTCCACCTTCAATCACTCCGATGATGGTACTTTTCTGAAGGACCTAAGGGAAGAAAGGACTGAATGTTTTTAACTGTTTCCAGTAGTAGAGACCTTTGTTTAAATGAACTTCACATGGCAGAGATCTCAGTGCAGCTGCTACAGTTGGAACATGAAAAGGGGATGGGGCTCTCTCCTCCCCGAGAACCTCTAGGGCTCCAAAAAACACAACTTGAAAGCCACTCAGATAGGTGAGAAAAGACTGAGGAGAAACTGATCAACACGTGGAGTCATGTTTGAGCTTAGATTAAATTAAACACAGGCTGAGCAAGTATGAGAGGGAAAGGACAAAAGGGTTTTCATTTGTTAGCCCTGCTTCAGGCAACCTCCAAGTCTCTGAGCTAGAGATAACTTTAAGAACTTTGTGGTTGAGATAACTGACTATCCATTTGGAAAAAAATAAATAAAACTACACTGCATACCACCCACAAAAATAAATCCCACATGGCTAATCTAAAACATACAAGAGTTACACAAGTATCAAAAAGGTATATTCAAGTTTTTATAATCTTGGGGTAAGGAAGGCCTCCTTAAGCAAGCTAAAGCTTACCAGAAAAGGCTAACCTATTTGAGTACAAAACTTCTCTAGTGAAATAACTCTCAACAAAGGCAAAGGAGAGTTTGCTGCTTGTTGGAATAGACAAATACTTATACTACAGGAAACCTCCAACAAATCTTCTAAGGAAATGACAACCCCATAGAAATCTGGGCAGATATGTGACTATAAACTTCAGAAAAATAAATGTGAATGCCCTGTACATATACGGAGAGCTAACTCAACCTCACCAGGAAGAAAACACAAACTGGAAGCAGTTAGATACCACTTTTGCACATTGCTTAGACAAAATAATTAAAAGATAGCAATGCCATGGAGGTAAAAGTGTTAGAGAAATGACACATACTCTGGTAACTAAAAACAGTAAAAATTAGTTCAGCTTCTAGGAAGGGCAGGTAGACAATACTTTTCAAAATGCCAATGCTTTTATCTTTATGTCCTAAAATTCCACTTTTAAGAATCTCTCCTACAAATATATTCATTCATATGCATCAAGGTATATTTACAAAATGTTTAGAATGATGAAAAACGGGAAAACAGACATCAATAGAGTAAAGGCTTAAATGAATTATGATACATTCATAGTATGGCTTCCCACACAGGTGTTTATCTTTTTTTAAAATGCAGTAGATATAGCAATATACACATTGACAAGGAGTTTTGAGAGATCACTGATTAAAAATAAACACATTTCTGAATGTGTTTGTGATCACCTATCTGATCATATTCATGTAATGAAAACTCCATACAGTATGTATGTATGTAAAAACTATGTGTATGCAACTAAAAAGTAAGGCTTCCAAGGAAAAACGCAAATCAACAGTGGCTCTCTGGTAGGAGAGAGGAATGGGAAGGAAGCCTGGAATGTGAAGAGGGACTCTCACTTATCAATTTAAGCAGGAGAGTCACAATCAGAAAGAATGCTTGGGCTGCTGTGTGGAGTATGATTTAGGAGTATGGCTAGAGGATATGTAGGAAGCAAGTTTAACGTTTAACAGTTCAGGTGAGAGACAAAGAGGACGTGGGCTAAGGCAGTGGCAGTGGTAGTGGCAGAAGGGGAAGGACAGGATCTGAAACTTCATCAAAAGGTATAATCAACAGGGGCGCCTGGGTGGCTCAGTAGGTTAAGTGTCTGCCTTCAGCTCAGGTCATGATTCTGGGGTCCTGGGATAGAGCCCTGTATCAGGCTCCCTGCTCAGCAGGGAGTCTGCTCCTCCCTCTCCCTGTGCCACTCCCCCATCCTGTGCTCTCTCTCTCTCTCTCCCCTGCTTGCTCGCTCTCTCAAATAAATAAATAAAATCTTTAAAAGAGCAAAAAAAGGTACAATCAACAAACTTGACCAAGTGGCCATGGAGAAGTTAAAAAGTCTAGGATGATTCCTGGCTCCTATTTTGGAGGTCCGGAGAGACAATGGGAAGAGCAAAGACAGGGAATCCTAGGAAAATAGTGGAGGATGAGACAAGATAATCATTCTGTTTTGTGCATTCTGAGTTTGAGGTTATCAGCAGCTGAGTACACGGACCTAAAGTTATGGACATGTGTGATACAAATGTGACTACCCAGGCTAGAACAGCAGACACCTGGCACACTGCTGCCACTTCCCACGGCAGACAGGGCTGACAGATACTCTCTCCCTGCTGCACCCAGGCACAGCTCCAAGCACCTTGGGATGAAACCCCTTTGCCATCCTTGGCCTAGGAGATACAGAAGAAAAGAAGGCCAACACTAGAACCTTGGGGAGCTTCAGTATTTAAGGGCATTCAGGATAAGAGGATCCAGTGAGTAAAAGAGGAAGAAATCATAGGAAAATGAAAAGATGTATGCAGACATACAAAGCAGGAAGTTTCATGGGCCTGCCCCTTTACATGACTGGCGCAGCCCTATCTATATGGGAAACCCCTTTTCATGGACTAAGAAGTATAATCATACAACTTACTATCTAAAATGGAACACATGTGCTCTCTCCACCAGCCATCCAAGATGCCAAAAGGAAAGAAGGCTAAGGGGAACAAGGTGGCCCCAGCTCCCGCTGTCATGAAGCAGGAGGCAAGGTGGTCGATCCTGTTTGAAGAAAAGCCTAAGAATTTCGGCATTCAACAGGAATCCAGTCCAACAGGGACTTCACCCGCTTTGTCAAATGGCCCCACTACATCCAGCTGCAGCGGTAAAGGGCTTTTCTCTATAAATGTCTGAAAATACCTCCTACAATTAACCAGTTCACCCAAGACCTTGGCCTGAGACTGTGAAACAGCTACTCAACTGCTTAAGCTGACCTACAAACACAACCAGAGACAAAGCAAGAGAAGTAGACACTGTTGGCCAGGGCTGAGAATAAAGCTGCCAGCAAAGAGGATGTCCCCACTAACATGCCACCTGTCCTTCAAGCAGGGGTGAATATTGTCACTATCTTGGTGGAAAACAGAAATTTCTCAGCTGGTAGTGATTGCACATGCTGTGGATCCCACTGAGCTGGTTGTTTTCCTGCATATCCTGTATCATAAGATGGGGTTCCCTACTACATTATCAGGGGGAAGACTAGGCTGGGACGTCTGGTCCACAGGAAACCTGCACCACTGTTGCCTTCACACAGGTTAACTCAGAAGACAGTAGCTCGGGCAAAGCCGCTGGAAGCTATCAGAAACAATTACAATGACGGATATGATGAGATCTGCCATCACTGGGTAGGCAACGTCCTGGGCCCAAAGTCAGTGGTTCACGTGGTCAACCTGAAAAAGGCAGAGGCTAAAGAACTGGCCACCAAATTGGATTAAGTGTGCGTTCTTGAGTTTTCTGTACATAAAAGTAATAAAAAGTTCTCTTTCAAAAAAAAAAAAGGGACACATTTAAGAGTAAAGGGGGACGGTACTAAATAATAATGTCAAGACAACAGTATAATCATAGGGATAGAAAGAGGGACCAACACACAGCAATAATGTGAAATGGTAAGGCTGATTACCACAGAAGAGGGACCTGAGGCTCATCCGGCAGTTCTAATAATCATGCTGTCATACCCCCTGTCCTCCTTTCTACTCATGTAAACATTACTCATCCTCCAATGATAATTACTGGCGCGGAACAATTGCTGGTGAGTAACACTAACAATTAGGACCCACGGCAATGTCCCAATGTCCCCACGCTGAACTCTCACTCCAGATATTGAGAATTCTATTCAGTATGACAACTAAGTTTCTTCTAATCATTTTATGTATACTAACTTAATTAGCCAATTACATTTTTTTTATTGGCACACTCAAGATAACAATGTTCCTCAACCTCAACACGCTTTGTCACCATTGCTCAGGATTACTCCACATAAATGATCTCAACCTTGAATTCTCCCCTTCGGTCACACCTTCCCTTCTCTCACCAGCTCTGGTCTCTCCTAGTGACAGCATTCTTTCTGAGCTTCATTCACTCTGCTACCATGATCTCTGAGCTACTGGCACAGTTTCATCCTCCCCACCCCATTATAACCAGCCACCATCAACAAGCATTTACTGAGGGCTTACGTATGTAGGGTATTCTGCTACGTGATGGAGATACAAAATAAAGACACTCAAAAATGGAGTTTAAGGAAGTCACAATCTAATATAGACAAACACGTAAAGAAATCATTGCATTAGGATATAACTGGAGCTATAGTGCAGTCACGTACAAATTAAAGGGGTATAGCAAAGGAAGAACAGAACTTCCTGGAAGGGTCAGAGACAGTTCTCTAGATCGATGAATGGAATGGGATGAGCCAATGTGAAGCAAGAGAAGGAATATGGCTGGAGATAAGAAAAGAAACAATCCAGACGGAAGTCCCTGTACAGCATCCAAAGAATGAAATAGGGTAACACCTCAGGGAACTGCAGGCAACTCAGAGGGGCCAGGGTGTTAGCCACAGGAAAAAGCAGTAAGCACTGGGCTGGAAGAGCATGCAGAGGCCAGGTCACAGCAGCCCATCCATGCCACATACGAGTTGACAAAGTAGGGAAGTGGATATGGGCTCCTATTTGTGTTTTAAGAAGATCTCTCAGATAGCAGGGCTGAAGATGGATTGCATAGAAATGAGAAGAGACAGAGGGAATTATTTTAAAGGATAATTGTCTACTTAAGAGATGAGGAGGTTATGCCTCAAGGTGGTGATAAGAAAGATGGGGAAGTGGGGCAGATCCTAGATATATTTAAGGAGATAGAATCCAGAAGGAGTAAACAATTGGATTTTAAATGGGTATTAAAAGGACCCTTGAATGTGGAATTTAAGAAACAAAATAGATGGACATAGGGAAAGGGAGGGAAAAATAAAATACGATGAAATCAGAGAGGGAGACAAAACATACGAGACTCTTAACTACAGGAAACAAACTGAGGGTTGCTGGAGAGGAGGTGGGTGGCAGAATGGAGTCACTGGGTAATGGGCATGGGATGAAATGAGCACTGGGTGTTATATGCAACTGATGAATCACTAAACTCTACTCCTGAAACTACTAATACACCATATGTTACTTAATTGATTTTAAATAAAATTTTCTTTTAAAAAAAGAGCCTTGAAAGACACAAATTTCTGGGCTGAGGAACATGGTGACTGCTATGAACAGAGACAGAAAGAAAAACAACAGGTCTGAGGAGATCAGATACTGAGTTTGGCTACCACTGAGTTCGAGGCGCACGTCAGGGATGCATTTGTAGAACCCAGCTGAAGTCCACTTGATGTAATTCTGAAGCTAAGCCAAGTGAGCTTGATTACCCATGTGATTTCAGAATTATTCACCAATTAAAACCAAGGGGAGGCTGCTCAGGGAAAACATCCAAAGTGGGGTGGAGAGCCTAAGGCAGAATCCTAGACAGTCAGAATATTTACAGTTCAGGAAAAGAAAACAGGAGAGTAAAAGACACCAGGAAGTGAGAAGCAGGAGGAGGAGCAGAGAAGGTGGTAGTATGAGAGCTTCAAACAGAAAGACGTGGTGGGCGGTGCAGCCTTACCTCTGACTCTTCCTGCAGCCGCAGACAATTATCCAGGAATAGAAGCGATCGATCAACAGACTTTCTGGCCCTTTTTATGGAAGCTGCTTCCTCGAAAGATGCCTCTCCATCTGAGAGACACTGGAACCAGTCTGGCTGAAGGGCCTGCTGAATTGCCATGAACTTGGAAGCAGTCATTTCTACTCGTCCCCCAATACCCCAGACAGACACAGACTGCCATGAAACAAAATGATTAGGAATCAGCAAGAGGAATATGCAAAGCAAAAGAGAATAATAAAACGATAAAGTAATACTGAATTTAATTCTTCTTTACAAACAGATGGTGGCAATTCATTATCTTGGACAGATCGGACTATATTCTAATTCTCCAAGGACCTTCTCTATAGCTCATAGAGACCCTTCAGTGGCTGCACAGCCAGCTTCCAAGCTAGCTCCAAGAATTCTCTGTTATACTTTTCCAGCCCAGTCTTCCATTCTCCGAGACCCCATTCCAACACATGCTGTCCCTAAATACACCATACACTTTGATCTTTCTGTCTTCAATCACTGTTCGTTTTGGCTGAAATGCCCTTCCCTACTTCTCTGTCTGGTGAAATACCATGCATCTTTCAAGACAAAGTTCAAATATTATCTACTCTATTGTGCTCCAAAAACCTATCTGGGCATAATCCATCACTCACTCTTCCAAGCTCTTACAGCAATTTGTACTTAGTTCTTCTATAGAAATGATAGTACTTATAACTGTACCATTGTACAATTGTCTGACTATAGAGTATCCCAATCTATGTTTGTGTCCCAAAAGCCTAGTCTAGGGCATCACACATTATTGAAGATTAATAAGTGTTTACTAGATTAAGTTAAATACAGATATAAAGAAGTCAGATACATACATAAGCATCTCTATATAATGTTCTTTCTTTGGGTACTCCTTCTTCTATATTATCTTTCTTCCCAGAAGAGATTGACAAGGACATAAATGGGGAACCCGGATACAGTCTTTATTCTGGCCTAACGCTTAAGAACACTGTTCAGATGAATCCTTTCTCCCTTATAAATGGGGTAGATAACTGAGGTAAGAATATTTTCTTTCAGATTAAAATTACAAAATAAAAAGTTTAAAGCAGAAGAATAATTTAAAATACTTAGGTAAGGGATCCCTGGGTGGCGCAGCGGTTTGGTGCCTGCCTTTGGCCCAGGGCGCGATCCTGGAGACCCGGGATCGAATCCCACATCGGCTCCCGGTGCATGGAGCCTGCTTCTCCCTCTGCCTGTGTCTCTGCCTCTCTCTCTCTCTCTCTCTGTGACTATCATAAATAAAAAAAAAAAAAAATTAAAAAAAAATAAAATAAAATACTTAGGTAAGATTAATAGATATAGTAGACATGAAAATGGGTGCAGGAAAAGTAGTTGCATTTGTAAAGCAGCAGCATACACCGAGGGCTTGCCAAAATGTAGTCCTCAGGGACAAGACCAATGTGTCATGTCTCAGGTGGAAACTTTTAATGAAGTCTTTTTGATACTGTTCTTCACTAGCTAAAATCTCTGGCTGTGCACCCAGCTTTTCAAATTCTGTTCTAAAAGCAAGCAGTATTACACCGAGATTCTACTATATATAGTTATACATGTGATAACACTCATCAGCAACTTTCCTAGCGCTTCCTGAGGTTGTTAAAACTGCAAATAAAGCATGGCATAAAAAAAATATTGCTTTCTACCATCATAGCAATTTCTTTTTTTGCCATGTACTTGACCCTCCTTCATCCCCAAATTTTTTGCAACAATGAAAATGCTGAGGATATATTCCTTACCTTAACCCTATCTGCAGGTAGCCCTACTTTGATTCCTATAAACCACTCTATGTAGTGGGCTATTCATAAATAAGAAGGTATAAAGGGGTCAGGAATGCGCTAGCATCCAAGGCAGTGGGATTTAGCACTGGAAGGATGCAACAGGCTGACTTTCTGGGACAAAGCTGCAGCCTTGGACAGCTTTCTGAGAACACACCTTGTTTGTGACATAACCAGCTGGGCAGGGGCTGACCGGATCATGCAGGGAACAGTACAAGAGCGATTCGGACATGCCTGTATAAACACACAAAAAAAGAACTCCTGAGAGCATTTATATTAACAATTATGCTGTGTTGTAACAGAGAGCAGTTTATATGTGTACTGCTGGATAAAGTCTCTCTAGACATGTTCAACTGTTCACACTCGATCTTAGAATTCTGAGAGGCCTTATCGACATGAATGAAAAGACCCTTTAAAACCTACTCATCTGAAAAAAGGATTGAATGTTCATTTCTAAAGACTAATGAGTTGCTACAAAGGAACAGACAAAGGAATAGTATACATTAAAGTATGAAGTAGAATAAAAGTGTTTAGTGGCATCTTAACCCTACTTGATTTGAAGAAAAACTTAATATCAAGTATGTTCATTGTAGGTACCATCCAAAGGAACTAGCTACTGGAAAAACAAAGTGATATGATCAAAAGGTAATCTTATTAATAATAAAACTATCCCATGTCATGGGACCTAGGAGCAGAATGAAAGGAAAGCTACAGCATACTGAAAATGGATCAAATTCTCTTTAAGTTTCATTGACTCAAGATGACAATTTCTTAGGTTCTTTAGTCAAAAATATAGTCATTAAAAAAAAAATCCCAAAAAAATGCTTACTAGACCATATGTGCTTAAACTTCCTATGCTACCCTACATTTTCATTAAAAAAAAAAAAAAAAAAAGGGATCCCTGGGTAGCGCAGCGGTTTAGCACCTGCCTTTGGCCCAGGGCGCGATCCTGGAGACCCGGGATCGAATCCCACGTCGGGCTCCCGGTGCATGGAGCCTGCTTCTCCCTCTGCCTGTGTCTCTGCCTCTCTCTCTCTCTCTCTGTGTGACTATCATAAATAAATAAAAAATTAAAAAAAAAAAAAAAAAAGGATTTCACGGAAAAAAAAAGACCCAGAAAATAAAGCAAGCTAAAAAACAAAAACAAAAAACAATTCTGCAGTTCTCTACCTATTTTCCACCATTTCAATTTTTACAGTTATCTCTAGAAAGCTTTTGCAGCTATTGTCACTTAATTATATGCTTGTATACTTTAAAGCTGGTTTCAGTCCAAGGAAAACATTACATAAATTCCTCTACTTAAAAACAGGGCCTTGTGACTACCAACAAGCCATCATGCAATTTCCTTCAGGAGCAGAGGACTGAATAACCAATGGAAACAGAATTCTCATTCACTTAAGTAACTCTTAGATATTGGAAGAAAGCTCAGGAGAAAGTGGTCTACAGAAGAATGGATTCTCTAGGTGCCCCTGCTATGCTTTTCCTATAAACAAATGGACACATTCATCTGCATATATAATCCTACTTCCAGAACAAAAGATAGTATTAACATACCAGAAGATAGCTATATATAAATAACTTCATCTTCTGCTTTATGTTTTAGGCTCAAACACGGCTAGACTGCTTTGGATCTTAGATATGTCCCATGCAGTTTCTTACCTCTGGGTCTTTGCTCTGTGCCTGGGATGTCTATCCACACCTGTCCACCACCACCATTGTGCCCACCTCTCAACCTGCCTAAGTCCTACTTTTCCTCGACTCAGATAAGGGACCACTTCTTCCTCCTCTCTCAAGAATCCTTTCTTTAGTCTGACCTCCTTCCACCATTACCCTACAGCAAGTAATGTGCTCCCCCTCTGGGTTCTCATGTGCATGTACACATCCCTAATCCTGCAAATGTGGTCACTATACCCTACAACAATTATTTATCTTTATCCCAGACAGGCTCTAAGCTCTATTGGGGAAGCAAGAGTTCTACTCATCTTTAAATCCCCAATATGTGGTTCTTAGATGCCCAATAAACGCTCATTAAATTAATGAACAAGTAAATGTATGAATGAAAGATCAGTCAACAGCACCTCCACACTTCAAATTAATACATAAGGCAAACACAAATAACACGAGTTTTACCTATAAACTTTCCAATTCCTTCCTTATATTCTGCTAAGACTTCATGGTGTTCTGCCCTGAAAGCAAAACAGAAAAATGCATAAAAATGAATTGTTCTACACATACTGTCTGCGACAGCTGACACCCACTTCTCTACACTCAAACGAGCTACGTGACGGTAAACATAGTCTTGTACAACGAAGTACGCCCGTATTCAAGAGTCCCAACTCACTAGGCTGTGTTCTTCAGCCAGAAAACAGGTCTTCAACTTACAAGTAGTTCTGTGAGAACAGAAACTGGCAAAGATCGAGTGCTTTCAAATGCCTGATTTTCTTCCTCCCTTCTCCTGTTTAAAATCACTGTGATTAAGACTGTATCACAAAGTTATTTCATCATATAGCAGAGGTTCTCCAATTAAGCATAAAGTCAGTATGTACATTACAAAAATGATCTAACTCCATTAGTTTTGTTTTCATAAGGTAGTACCAAGTACGTGTGCAGATACAGAGAAAGGTGTGAGGCTGGTGTGTGCAGACAGCCTCTAGAGTCCAAGTTTAGTTCTCACAGAGCATTCCCTGCTCTGTCACCTCTGGTAGTGGTGGCAATGAGGGTCACCATGCTGGCACAGTTGAATCAGAGGAGGAGTGATGCAGCTCTGACATGCAGGTCTGGCCTGTGGCTTCCAGATTAGGGCCAGAGGATGTCTAATAGTTGACATCTCCTAATTTCATTCTGAAAATCTATAAATGTTGTGCATATAATCAAAAAAGTCTTTCTTTTTACTGTACCTTATTAAGGTATCTAAGCTGCTGCCAGAGTTGATACTTAAATGATCGGATCTAACACTTACAATGAGGACAGTGTAAGCTGAGCCATGGCAGGAACCCCGTGGATAGTGTGCAGTGTCTGATGGGTCAGGTGTGGGGCAGAGCCGGTCTTGGTGTACAGAAGGCAGGCTGGAATGTCCATGGTGCGGTCCCCTGTTTTGCCCAGGTTTTTTATTTTTCCTAGGCGACAGCCATTAACTACCTTGGTAAGATTCAGCTTCATCCTAAGCGATTCCTCTAGGTCCTGCTAAGAAAAGAACAGTAAACTCAGGAGTTACATGACATCTAAAGGCTAACTAAGCATTTTACAAAGAAAGTAAACGATTTACACGATGATAAATGACAACATGTTTATTACTACTTCCAGTGGATGATTGTTTTAGATATCAGGAAGAAGGAAATGGGAGAAGACACACAAGGGAATAAGACCCCTTTCCCCAAAGACCCAGAGCAAAAGGATGACATCAGCCACATTAAAATTCAGTCATGCAATTTTTATGTGTGCTGATGAAAATCAAAGGAAGGACAAGAGTAGGACTAATCTTTTTTTTTAAAAAAGATTTTATTTACTTATTCATGAGAGACAGAGAGAGAGAGAGAGAGAGAGAGAGAGAGAGAGAGGCAGAGACACAGGCAGAAGGAGAAGCAGGCTCCATGCGGGGAGCCCGACGTGGGACTTGATCCTGGGTCTCCAGGATCCCACCGTCGGCTGAAGGCATTTCTAAACTGCTGAGCCACCGGGGCTGCCCCAGGACTAATCTTTGGCAAAAGAGTCTGTACTCTTTTGCCAAAAGCTAGCTTTCAGCCCTGAAAATGCATATAGAAGAAGGCCACATTCTTTAGGCCATACTGATTACTGATTTGATCCAATTTTCCTTTCTCTAATTTGAGAGAATACTAGGCAACACAACAATTTCTCCTAATATGTTATTAAGCAAAGAAAGCAGGTTCCAAAATGGTATCCTGGTGTTTATTAAACTATATGGAACAATATACATCAAAAGATATACAGAGATTTTCTGAGAAGTGAGGTTATTTTCCAATTGTTCTTATACGGTGTCCAAACAGAGGTGAGAAACCACATGAAACATACATGCAATTCATAAGCAATTCAGCATTACTTTTATCAGGGATCCTGGCAGACTAGTCCCTAGTCCTTTTGTGTAGCAAGCCCTGGAGCTTGATCTTGTACATACACCTAGCACAGATCCACTCTCAGAGTCAGGCTCAAACAAAACAATCTCAGAGACTGAACTACAAAATCAGAATGCACATTATTTAATCTGAGAACCAAAAATGGAAGGAGGACCAGTTATTGTATTCATGCCCTATGGGGTACTGCACAGGAATCTAAATGCCACACGATATTATCTGGAAGGGTAAGTAATGATTACATATGTAAAGACAACTGAAAGGAAACTCACTGGTTCTCTAATATAACCAAACTCAGATTCCCCAAGGTTAGACACAGGGATTGTTCAAGAAGGAAGCAGCAGCTAAATCTGGAAGCCCAGACTCTTGGCTTCCAAGACTTAGCTTCCTCTTGGGGACTTCTTAGACCTATCCTTGTGGAAGAAACAATGAACATGTTCTAGGAGTCCCCATATTTTAATAGAAAGAGCTTCAAATGTGATTGATCATTCAATTCTGAAAGCATATTCTATCTCCCCTGAGAAGAAAGAAATAGCTTTCTTCATTCTTTTCTCCAAGTCCGTTATTTGCTCTAGAGACATGGGCCACCATGTTCTTAGATGCAGAGATGGGTTGTCCTGTGATACAATGCACAAGGGTTTAACGCCCATATTTTTAAAGATAAAATTCAAAATCCTCAGCTTATTATACTGAACCCACTAGGTCAACTGGAGAGGAATATCCACTTGGCTTTCTCCACAGTGTAAGACTCCAATGCTATGTACTCACATCTGCTGTTTGGGGCTTCTCTCTCGGTCTCTTCCTCTCTCTCTCTCTTTTTATTTGAGAGAGAGAGCGTGCATGAGCACACACAAGCTCAGGGAGAGGGAGAAGCTGGCTATCCTGCTGAGCAGGGAGTCGATGTCGGGCTCAATCCCAGGACCTTGGGATCATGACCTAAGCCGAAGGCAGACATGCCTTAACTGACTGTGCCACACAAGGCACCCTTGTTTGGAGCTTCTTAAGAGTCCCATCCTAATGATGATAAATCAACATGTCACCAAAGAAAAAAGCAAACAAGGAAAAGTAGACAGCTGCATTTAAGAAAGAGTATTATAATAGATAAATTGCTATTGTCAGTGATTTTCTGTATTGTGAGAATGAATACAATTATCAGAAGGCATTTTCTAATGCTGGAAATCAACATTTAAAAAAAAATAACAAGCAACTTTGCCCAGAGCTAGAAGAACCACACTTTTCTTTCCCCATTCACTGTGAGTTTATGGTAATTTTTATAAGTGCACCCATTTTCTAAGGGCTCAAATACAGCAAGATTTTATTACAGAGTAATGTAAGTATAAATACACATAAACATATATTCTCACACATGTTTTTTAAAACATGCTTTGGGAGGGATATAATCTAAACCAAGCAAATTTCTCAAACAAACCAATAGTCTCCAAAATGTTAACTAATTTTTATTTCCCCTCATCATCACCCTTTTCCCTGTGGGTCACTCACTGTAGGTATCTTCTAAGATTTGTGGTATTATGCTTTTCTAAATATACATTCACACTTCACTTCCACAAATGGAATTTCTGGAAAAGTCTTAAGGAAAAACCATTAAAAAAAAACTATCTGGAAATGGTTCATGGAAAAAACTTTAATAAGCTGTCAGTGGATCTAGGTCTTCTCAAGGGCTAACAAAGATTACCCCCACCTCTGGTAGCATTGTACCTGTCCTAACACTTCTAGAGCCACACATTCCCCGCCCCACCTCTCCAGCATTCCCTCAGGAAAGAAGGGATCTCTAAATGTTTTTTATACGAATTCTCTAAAGACTGTCATGGCAGATGACTATAACATGCTAAGGGAAAAAAGCAAGCTTAGGTGAGCACATTTTTTTGTGAAAGAAAAACTGGATACGTATTTATAAACACGTGTACACCCATATACCACAATGCTTCTATATGCATAGAAAAATGTCTGGGGATGCCTGGGTGGCTCAGTGGTTGAGCATCTGCCTTGGACTCAGGTCATGATCCCGCAGTCCCAGGATCGAGTCCCTGCATGGAGTCTGCTTCTCCCTCTGCCTGTGTCTCTGCCTCTCTCTCTCTTTGTGTCCCTCATGAATGAAAGAATAAAATCTTTTAAAAAAGAAAGAAAGAAAGAAAGAAAGAAAGAAAGAAAGAAAGAAAGAAAGAAAGAAAGTCTGAAGGATTTCTAAACAATATGGCACCCTGAGTTGAGTTAGAAAGACACAGAAATGATGGACTTTAGAATTCTAGAAAACAGTAACAGAAGATGTAGAGTATTCTAAAATCCTTACACTATTTGGGAGGGGGAGAGGGATAATGAATCACGTCAAGTATTAAGTATGTGTGTCAAAAATTTTAAAAGAAGCACTAAAAGATTAATAGCAATGCTTAATTTCTGATCCCATTGGTGAGGGATGGGGGATGATAAAAAAGAACTGGTTAATAGAATAAAAGGCAAGAAAAAGGAAAAGAAATCAAAAAGCACATCAAATAGAGAAAATACAAAATAAGATGGTAGAAGTCAAATATGTCAGTGATCACAATAGAAGTCAACAACTTTACATAATGACAATTAGTAACAACTAACATTTATTGGGCATCTACTGTCCTTTACATATTAACCCTGGTAAAACGCATCATTATATCAACTGCGTAAGTGCATTTTAAGATTTTTTTTTTTAAATTTATGATAGACATAGAGAAAGAGAGAGAGAGAGAGAGGCAGAGACCCAGGCAGAGGGAGAAGCAGGCCCCATGCAGGGAGCCTGTCGTGGGACTCGATCCTGGGTCTCCAAGATCACACCCTGGGCCCAAGGCAGGCGTTAAACCACTGAGCCACCCAGGGATCCCCCGCCTAAGTGCATTTTAATATAAGAAAATTGAGGGTCATAGAGTCACCATCTGGGAAGCGTCAAGCCAGGACTCGAATCACAGAAGTCCGGCTTTAGAGGCTGACAGCCTGTTAGAAGCCCCATCTTGTCCATATACATACGCAGTGATTACACATTAACTGTAACGTTAATATGCAATTTCATAGTCGTATTTTCCATTTTGCTATGGTGTTGTCATTGTTTTTCTTTTCCCTTCTCTTCTTTCTCTGCCTCTATCCATCCTCCCAGCCTCCACAACCTTTCTCCACACTTCGTACAAACATTTAAACATACTCATATATGGGGGTGGGGGATTTTTATTATTATTATTTTTTTATTAAAAACGGAAACATACCCCAGTGTACGCACGTCTCTGCAGCTTGCTTTTTCCCGCAGGAGGAAAATGGATCTCCTTCCTGCAGAAGAGACACAGAACTAACTCACCGTTTTAAAAGAACTACGTCGAGGTATTACATAGCTCGGATGTGACACCCTTTGCTCAACCATCACCCTTCTGATGGACGCTCGAGGGACGGGGCAAGTCCTACGACCTCTGCAAGAGTATGAGGGCGGGCACGGCTTCCCTCATCTCATTTTCACCAATCTCAAGTCCAGTTTAGTCTAGGTTTCCTGGCAGGGCGCTAGGTTTACGTTGATTTTTCGCCGTTACAGCCCTCCGATGATTTAAGTACCATCGCTTCCCGTTTGCAGGTAAGTAAACTGAGGGTCTGCGTTACTAAGAGTCTCGGGTCTTGGGGCCACAAAGCTGAGTTCAAAGCTCCCTGTGCAGACCACTGCCCTGCCTTACAAACCCACGTATCCTTTGCAAGTACAGTCTCCGGGAGCATCTAATAAGTTCAGTCTGTAAACATGGCTTTTCCCTCGCCCCGAGGCCCCCTCCAGCGGCCTGGTCCCCGCGCAGCCCTCGGCTCAGGGATTCGAGGGGGCCCCAAGCCTCCCAAGCATCCAGGGCAGGCCAGAGAACACTTCCGGCTGACAGCTTGACTCTCGAGCAGAGGCCGGTCGAAGGAGGCCCTATTTCCTTAGAGATGCAGCGAAGCTTCCACGATTTGGGAGAATTTGGACTCCGAGAACCCAAGATCCACCAGGAGAGAGCCAGAACCGGGAAGGAGACACAAGTCAGGGAGTAGCGCCCCGGTTGCTGCCACAGAACCGGAACGCGCCTGGCCGCGGCGCGACCCGTGCACCCACTGCAGCCCCGCCCCCTACCCGCTCTAACAGGGAAACGGGGCACTTACCTGCACCCCTTCCGATTTATTCTGGCCTTGAGACCCCTCAAAACTCCTCGTAGTTCGCTACCACGTGTCCGGCCTGCAGCATTCTCGGCCCCCTAAACCACCGCCTCCGCTTCAGAGCCAATCAGGGAGCGCTGCGTCATCAGCCGGCGCCAGGAAAAAAAAAAAGCAAGGGTAATAGGAAAGCGAGCTCTGGGGACCGCGAAGCCGCGGGAGCGCTGCCGTTGCCATGGGTTACGGAGCTACCGCGTTCCGTCCGCGCAAAGCCCCCTGGGAGTGGTGGTTCCGCGGCGCCCCCACACACGCCTTCCCTGCGGCCGGAGGAACTACAACTCCCAGGGAGACCCGGAAGCAGGCTCGGCAACGGAGCGCTCGTTCCAGCTTTGCGGTGGTCCGGGCCTGAACCTGGAAAATGCTGCTGGCGCCCCAGGAAGGGTGCTCCTCGAGGAAGAGGACAGGGCCGAATCGCTGGAAACGAATGACAAGGAAGCCGAGTCCCAAGGTGATCCATCCGAATCGGGAGCTCTAGGGGGGCGGGCGCCGGCCCCGAGGCCCGCCGGCCGGGCTGCGCTACCTCCGTCTTCCCCCAGGGGCATCCTTACCTGGCTCCCTCTCGCCTCGGCTGCCCTGGTGCAGGGGGCCTGTGCGCTCTGGGGTCTGGCTACTTTATAGCTTTGGTGGGCTGTGTAGTTGAAGATCTGTCTCCATCACATGGTTCCTTGAACGGGAGACGGCTGGGAGTGCCCATCCCGGTGAAGAGAATTCCCGAACTCCCTGGCCTCCCATACCCCTCCCCCCCCCCCCCCACAATTTTAGGAAAGTTCTTGCACTTTTTTTTTTTTTTTCTAAACGTCTCCCAAATTTTAAATCTTTATTGGAGAGGGGAGATCTTCATGTTAGTCTTCTCCTCATATTCCTCTTCTAATTTTCCATGAAGTTGTCAAAAAGGAACGTGATCAGGTGTGTAAGTGGAGGGGGCACCTGGGTGGCCAGTGGTTGAGCATCTGCCTTCGGCCCAGGGCGTGACCCCGGGGTCCTGGGATCAAGTCCCGCGTGGGGCTCCCTGCATGGAGCCCGCTTCTCCCTCTGCCTGTGTCTCTCATGAATAAATAAAATCTCTTAAAAAAAAAAAAAAGAATGTTAAGTGGATATTGGAGGTATCAACACTTGATTTACTTGAAATTTTCTGAATTCAACAGTTCCCTTTTATATCTGTTACCTCCTTGGATGCATCAGCACCGAAAGACCCGGGAAACTGATAACCCCGTTTTGAACCTAAAAACGTACAAAAATGCTGTGTGCAAAGTCACAGTCACACGGTGTGTGCTTTCCGCAGACCACCTTTTTAACAGTCACAAAAATAAATGCTTTAAATGTAAGTGAGAGTACCAAAATGGAGTGGCTTCTCAGCTTTCAGCTCCAGAGCAGTTTTCACCAGCTGTTTTCACCCTTAAGTTACACTTTCTTAAAAAAAAAAAAAATCTGTAGACATGTGGCATTCTCTTAGGGCTCTAGGCAACTGTGCTTGCAGTATATTCTAAATATACCAGCTAAATAATGCACCGGACATATTCCACTTGGTAAATATCTTGCCCCAGATACCAGAGGATGTAGATAGGAGCATTAGAGTTGGAAAGAGTCTGGTCCAATTGTAATGTAACTTGTGCCGCAATAGATTGGATCCCAAATAGGTTATGGGTATAGACTTGATGATGGAAGGCGAAAATTTAGGACAATTTCGTGAGACTCTAAAAGGAAGGATTTTCCCTGCTAGTGCTCATTGTTACTGCCTAGGGGATAAAAAGGAAAAAGCACTAGAGCTTCTTGAAGTTCAGTTGAGTTTTAATACGATCAGCTCTTTTTTTGTTGCAGTGACAAAAATTAATCAGCTGTACAGCTGCATTAATTAGTTATCTTAAGGTGCTTTGAAGGTGAAGTGTCATGTGAGAGAGTATTATTCCTTTCCTTCCTCCATGTGACGGCATGCTAGTTTAGATATTCCCTTTTTTAAAGACCCACCTGAAATATTAGCAAAGCAAATACTTCTATTTGTTAAGTGACTATTAGACCGACCTGGGTAGAAATCTATGTGATCTTCACTTCATTTTCTGCTTTGTAAGACAGAAGATTGATTATCTCCCACCCCACTCCCCAGTTACTATTGGACCAAACAATATTCCTGTTATAGGTAAGATAGTAAAGCCCCTTACTACAAGTTATTCTTGAAAACTGGGACCGAGGAAAAGGGCATACCCTTCTCCAAGTACATTTGCTTCCATGACATTTGAATAAACTGGCTAATCAGTACTTATTTGGGTTTTTATAAGGAGTATATCTAGCATTCCTCTATTTTGGCTCTGGAGAGCTTTATTTATTTATTTTAAAGATTTTATGTATTTACTAGAGAGAGGGAGAGCATGAGAGGAGGAGCAGAGGGAGAGAGAGAAGCAGACCCGTGCTGAGTACAGAGACAGACGCAGGGCTTGATCCTATGACCCTGAGATCATGGCCCGAGCCAAAATCAAGTCAGCCTCATAACAACTGAGTCACCCAGGTGCCCCTCTGGAGACCTTAAAAAAAAAAAAAAAAAAAAAAAGCAGACACCTGGGCAGTATTCCAGACCAATTAAATTAGAATCTCCAGGTGGGCCTAGGTAGGAAATAAAAACAAGTCCCAGAGTGAGGCTTCGTGTTTCTTCCTCTGACCATCATTCTGTGCTCTTGCTGAACTTGCTGATGAAATGGCTTGGCGAAAGAAAAAGGACGTTTTTCCGTATGCTTTAGTCAGAGGGATAGATTAAATTGGCAAAGTTGATAAAGTTATTGCTGTGTATTAATATTCTGTATATATTATCTCCAGCCTGCCTTTGACCCTGACAATGTGGAACACTGGATTAAGGTAAGGCTACAGCCTAGTTAAAATAGAGAGTTAAAAGTCAGACATAGCCTGATGGAAAGGAATACTAATAGATCTCCATTTTGCACATGTCTTGCTATTTTTATTCTCATCTGGGTTACTTTAGTTTTATACTCTGTAGTATTTTGTTTGCATTATCCTGTTCATTCTCATGGAACTATGAATGACAAGAAAATGGGTATAGACATGCTCTTTGAAATGCTGTGAGGATCCCATGAAGAGGACTAAAGGAGCAGAGGGCAAGCTGTAAGAGGGAATGTGGTGGCCTCCCTCAGATACTGGAAGGACTGTACCATAGTTACAGTGCATCCTGAGCATGAGGTGAAAGCTGTGCATGCATGATAAGAATTTTCTAATAATTGGAGAGGTCCAAAAATGGAGTGGACATCCTCATAAAAGCTGTATTTCCTGGCAATGGAGGTATTCAAGTGGATTCTAAAATGGCCACTTAATGTTAGGACTAATGAAGAATATGTTTGAGCATCCCGGGGTGGGGGTGGGGGAGGGAGGTGCAGGGATTGAATTAGGTGACTTTCTGAGCTGTCTTCCAGGCCTGAGGTCTGTATTTTTGAGTCCAAGTACCATTTGAGTTGAAAGTACTATTAAACTCCTTCAGGTGCATGCCGCTGAGGGTCAGTTTGGCAACTTGCCATAATCAATTCATTTGTGCAGCATATGTTTCCAAATCATGCAGCCTTTTCCTGGGAAAATATCTTTCTGCCTGGTAGTATTTTGAAGAGCTATTACTTATCTAAATTGACAGCCATTATAAGCACCAGGCCAGATGGAACCTAGGCCAGATGTAATCAATGTTAACTATTTATCCAGCCGGTATTTATTAAGAGCCTTCTAAGTGTTCGCCCTCTCCACTGGACACTGAAGATAAAACAGTGCTGGGGGCAGGTATAGTTCCTGCCTTCCCAGAGTTTATAGTCCAGTGGAGGTTAAACAACTTACTTGAAACCGTCGGGAGAATAAAGGATGTAATAGAAGCATGTGGTGGGGGACGCTAATGCAGACAGGCCGGGGAAGGCTTCCTGGCTCTGCAGCAGGGCTGAATGGATCTGCCATTGTGGAGGCCAGCCCCTGGGAAGCCCACTCCCCAGCCGCCTCCTAAGCCTAGTTTCCATGTCAGTGCTGAGAGTCCCAATGCCAACCCCCTGCAGGGCTTAATTGCACATTTAGTTACCGCCTCTAAGTGAAAGAGGTTAAAATTCTGCTCTGACTTATGCACTTGTCAGCCTGACCCGTCAGATTTTTATCATTCCTTTTATCATTCCTCTAAAACTTCTGCAGTAGCTTTGTCTCCCTTATGCCCTCAAATCTCCCATCTCAAAAAAAAAAAAAAAGAAAGAAAGAAAAATCAGTAAGTCCTTACTTGACCCTGCCGGGTCCATTCTGATTATGGTGCAGCATCTTTTTCTTATCCAGTGTCTTTGGGAGTATAGCCTAGATTCCTTGCCCCTGCATCTTACTATCCTCTGGTGTCTATAGGAATTTTCTTCCTACTCCTGTTTCTCACCACTCCACAGAAACAGCTCTCAGAAATGACTTCCTGATCAAATCTGTTCTTCATCCCGAACTTGTGTAAGGTTCATTTGATAGTTATCACTTTTTTTTTATTCCAGAAATCCTCTGCTTCAGTATCTTTTTAAAACAGTGTTTTCTCCTTTTTCTCCTTTACTTTTTTGCTCATTGCTGTCATCTTTTCTGATTTTGTTCCCTGACCTATCCCACTCTGGGTGCATCCTAAACAGGTAGGACCTCTGGAACTAAGACTTCCAAATCCCTTTGAGTGCACCACTCTCTCAGAATCAGCTCAGATCTGATTACGTGGAACAAGGGAGAGAATATGAAAGGGGTGTGGAGCATGTTGATGGTCAAGAAAGGGCTTTCTGGAGAACAGAAAAGATTACCAGGGCAGCACTGGGGACTTTGGCTGAAGTTGGTAACCAGAATTTTATGTGGTAGCAAAAAATGGTAGATCAGATTGATCCAGGCTTGAAGGTTTTCACTGGAGGGGCAAAGAGAGAAGAGATCTGAGGCTCCTGTAGCTGAATATCCACGCAGAGTAGGAAGGAGAGGATGCTTTAAGGACTCCTAGGTTGGGAAGAGGAGACCCATAGTGACTAAGGATGTGATTAGGTGCAACACTAATGTAGTGGAGGAGGGGGACTAAAAGAGGGAGATGCACAGGGGGTGATGTTGGGGTGGGGGTTATCAGCTTTGGGGCTGAATAATGGAAAATTCTGTGATGTCCATGTCAGTGAGTTGCTGAAGTACAGTAGCAGGAAAGACCATTGGAATATAGTAGATCAAGCAAACCTGGAGTCTCAATTGTTGGTGAGTCTTCCTCAGGGGCACTGAAGTCACTTAGACAGATGCTTGAGTAGAACTGTGAATTGTGGGGAAGCTCACCCAAAATGCAACAGTTCACCATAATTTATAATTTATCCTCATCCTGATTTGATAAACTAACTCATATCTTTACTCCTATGCATTCTGTTACTTTGATACTTGAGCTTTTTTTTTTTTTTTAAGATTATTTATTTATTCATGAGAGACACACAGAGAGAGGCAGAGACACAGGCAGAGAGAGAAGCAGGCTCCATGCAGGGAGCCCCACATGGGACCCGATCCCGGGTCTCCAGGATCACGCTCTGGGCTGAAGGCGGCGCTAAATCGCTGAGCCATCTGAGCTGCCCTGATACTTGAGCTTTCTAAACATTTTCATTGATTCTCTATTCTTGAACCTTCAGGGATTTTGTATGCCATCCAATGAAACTGTAAATTCTAGATGGGCATTTAAGGTTCTCTGTCAAACTATGATATCAGTCTACCTGTAACGACCCCTTTGTTGGGACTCTGTGTGCCTCTTGTCACGCCAGTCTCCTGCATCCCTATCTTCCCTTTGACTCACACTGATCCCCCAAACCTGGAATACCATTCCTCTCTGGGAGGCCAATCCTGATCATTCCCTTAAGGCTTAGCCTGAGATGCCCCTCTCAGTGAACAACTTCTCCTCGCCCACGTCAACCACCTAGTCCCATCTTCTAACATTTTTCCCCTCAGAATTATTTTGCCATTCATACATAACAGAGACCATGTCAAGCATTTGCTTGTATAGAGTGATGAAAAAACAATTGGGCACTTTCAAAAATCTATTACTCCCAAAACTATTATTTATAAACAGGCAGTTTGCCCTTGAGGGCATATTAAGGAACTTGTGCTTCTACCTCCCAGCCTTGAGGAAATGAAGGAGTGCATTGTACCTGCTGTTTCTGCCACTGAGTGGGACAGTGGGATTGATGTGCATAGTGGGACATGAGGAGCTCATATTGAGCATTTATAAGATCATGGGAATAACTGGGATGCTTCCTTTACAAATCATATACTTACACATAACACAGTTACTGAGTAGTAAACTTTTGAAGGTATTCGGGGTTTCTTTCTAATCCCCCTGTGTTACTTTAGAGCTATTCTTGAGTGGTTTCTTGCACACGTGGCACATGACACAGTAAATAAGTAGGTATTAAGTAGGCAGGTAGATAAAAGGGAACTCTTTGGTCATTTTTAGTTTTGTTTTCCCCTCAGTAGCCTTCAGTCCTTCAGTCAACTTGCTTAAAAAATGTGTTAAATTCACACTTTGTTTTATTGAACTTTAATGTAAGACCTTCTATATCTCACATATTTACTTTGTATGAAATGGTTAGAAAAAAGAAAAATGGTTAGGATGGGATAGCTTAAACAAGGAAATAGAGACTTTCTAATCCTTAATATCATCTAGTATTTTTTTTTTTTTTGCCAAAATCTTCATGTTAAGGGATATCCCAAACACTTGCTTTGTAAGAGCCAAGCAGACATTTCTCCTTACTCCCTTCCTTGTAACCATCCCGTGACCAAGTTCTTTAGAACCAACCTAAGTCTTTCCCTACCTCCAAACTCTCTCTCTGCCTCCTTTGCCAAGAATCTACCAATTGCAATTCAGGTGACATAACCTATCCTACAGATTTTTCTTTCACTCGTAGCCTGAGACACTAAGTCTGCAATCCTCTTTTTGTTATTTATTTTTTGTTTGTGAGTGTTGGCTTTTTTTAAAGATTTTATTTATTTTTAAAAAAAGATTTTATTTATTCATGAGAGACCCACACAACAGAGAGGCAGAGACATAGGCAGGGGGAGAAGCAGGCTCCATGCAGGGAGCCCGATGTGGGACTTGATCCCAGGACTCCAGGATCACGCCCTGGGCTGAAGGCAGGTGCTAAACCACTGAGCACCCAGGCGTCCCTGTGAGTGTTGGTTTAAAAACTGAAAGCCGACCTATTTATTTGAACATCATTTACATATATGTGTATATAGCATGCACATGTGATCTATGTGAAATTCAACTTACTGTCTTAGAATTTGAAAACCCTAAAGGGAAGGACTATGTGCCAAGCATCTTGTGACCATACAATAAATGGCATATCGACCGTCATCAATTCGGGCACATCAGAGGCCAAGAAATAATGTGGGAGACAGATCTCTCCAGAGTGACCTCATAAAGAGTGAATGATACTTTCTCTATTCTAACCTTGATTAGATCATGTTTTGTTTTTTTTTTCTGATTCATATCTCTTCCCGTGTGTTCTGTTTTCTACATGTTTTTCAAATTACCCTTGGCTTTTCAACTTTATTCCTTTGTTTCTAATTCAAACATAATATGTGAAACCCTTGAGAATTTATAAGGTAAAGCCACTGGCAAGTTTTGGCAGAGGTACTACCAGCCTTTCTATGAAGGGCAAGAGGAAAAATCATTTTCAAAATAGGTCAGGCAACAACATAAACTGTGGGAAAGTGCAGCTTTTAAAAATAAGTTTTAAAAGAAATAATAAAAATAAGTTTTAGGGGCACCTGGGTGGCTCAGTCAGTTGAGTGTCCAACTCTTGATTTCAGCTCAGGTTGTGATCTCAGGGTCTTGGGATTGAGCCCTGTGTCAGGTCCCTGCTCAGCAGGTAATCTGTCCCTCTCCTTCTGCTTCTCTCTCTCTCAAATACAGCTTTCAAAAAATAAATTTTACATGTATTTGTTTTTTTTTTTAACATTTATGGGGCACTGCCACGCACTGTTATGGGTACTGTGGGTTTCACGCATGAAGAGAATAAACATGCCTGCTCACATTCTAAGGGAGACGATAAATGGTAAAATATGTTATAAGGTCTTAAGTGCCATAGAGAAAACAGAGAAGGGGAATAGGGAGAGCTGTGAGGAGGGTGGTTATAGTTTCCTGTAGGGCAGTTGGACAAAGCCTTACTCTGAAGGTGACATTTGAGTAAGGTCAAGAGGAGGCCAGGAAAAGAGCTGTATGGCCATCAAGAGAGAACAGTCCAGCAGAGAGGAAGTAAGCTCAAAGGTCATGAGATGGGGCCGTGCTTGGCATATATCTGAGGAGGGATGCACAAGGTGAGTGTGGCTGAAGTCGAGTGACCGTGGGGTATAGTAGATAAGATTGGAGAGCTCACAGAGGGCCTGATGGTGCAGTGCCTTGAAGCACATTGTAAGGACTTTGATTTTTATTTTGTGTGCGATAGAGAACTGTTAAAGGATTTTTGAGCAGTTACATCTGGTTTTTATTTCAAAGGGATTGTCTGCTGTGGTGGGAGACTATCACAGAAAACCTGTCAGGGAATCGGGGTGCCTTGGACCAGGTGATGACAGTAGAGGTGACAAGAAGGGGTCAGATCCCGGATATATTTTGAAAATAGAGGCAACAGATTTCCTGATAGGTTAGTTGTGGGGTAGGAGGGAAGGAATAGAGGACTCCAAGAAAGACTCCAAGGTTTTCATTCCGAGAACTGAAAAAGTGGAATGGTAACTGCCCAGGTTGGAAGCTTGGGAACACAGCAGATGTGGAGGAAAGCAAGTTTGTGGGGAGAGAAAAAGTCGGGAATAATTTTAAAATACGTTCTTTTATACCGTGCAGGTGAACCAAAGTGCCAACACAGTTTGCACACCTCCACCAATCCCATGAATTAGGCCATATTTTTATTGTTGACTTAAGACATTCTGGATGACGACAGTTCAGCAACTCTGTCCCAATTTTGTTGAGCCTACTGTTTGTATGATGGGAGGTTCGTTTAGGGGCTAGTAATTTGAAGAAGCATAGCTAATCTGCCTCTTCATATTCATATGCAAATTGTAGTGACATTGGTAACTAATAAAACACTGTTTTCTGTTTAAAATAAAATATCCAGGTGTCAGGATCCCATTACGCTGTAAACAAAAGTTATCCAAAGCTTAAATAACTTTTTGTTCAAAAATAAATGTTGCGGGATCCCTGGGTGGCGCAGCGGTTTGGCGCCTGCCGTTGGCCCGGGGCGCGATCCTGGAGACCCGGGGTCGAATCCCACGTCGGGCTCCCGGTGCATGGAGCCTGCTTCTCCCTCTGCCTGTGTCTCTGCCTCTCTGTCTCTCTCTGTGTGACTATCATGAATAAATAAATAAAATCTTTAAAAAAAAAAAAAAAAAAAAAAAATAAATGTTGCGAATACATGTTAAAATTTGGTAAAATAATCCTGGGGTCCCAGGATGGAGTCCTGGGTTGGGCTCCCTGCATGGAGTCTGCTTCTCCCTCTGCCTATGTGTCTGCCTTCCTCTCTCTGTGTGTGTCTCTCATGAATAAATAAATAAATAAATAAAATCTTAAAAATAAAATAAAATTTGGTAAAATATTGGAATTCATTTCATGTTTAAAAAAATGAAATTATTTGGGGTGTTTAAGCCTCAGAGTTCCTTCAAAAAATGGAAAAATGGAAGTAGCTCAGTAGGTGATAGAAAATCCATTTCTTGGGACTCAATGGGTGGCTCAGCTATTAAGCATGTCTGCCTTCGGCTCAGGGCGTGATCCTGGAGTCCTGGGATCGAGTCCCACATTGGGCTCCCTGCATGTAGCCTGCTTCTCCCTCTGCCTATGTCTCTGCCTCTCTCTGTGTCTCTCATGAATACATAAATAAAATCTTAAAAAAAAAAAAAGTTTCTTGAGTAGGAGAAAAGTTCCTTAGCCCTGAACAAAGTTGTGTCATCTTAATGGATCTTTGTTGTTGTTGTTGTTGTTGTTATATTGAAGAGGGTGGAGAAAGCCTCAGAATTTGCAGTTTCGAAAGCATTTTCTGCTAGAAATCCCCATTTGTCCAGAAGGCTTTGGAACCAAATTGTAGATTTGGAAACATCGGAGCAAATAGAGGATCATGATGAAGTCTATGCAGAAGGTAAGGCAATACATTTTTTTTGTTGCAGTGTTGACAGTTCTTTAGAATATAGCTTATTAAACATAACTTTTTAATGCATTTCTAAGTACAGAACAGCAACTATTCTTTCTCTTAATTTTTGTGTCTTTCAACCTCCCTGAAACTAATTTACTCTGGAGTGAACTCCAATATTACAGGTAAGGGGCAGCCCCGGTGGCGCAGCGGTTTAGTGCCGCCTGCAGCCCACGGTGTGACCCCGGAGACCCGGGATTGAGTCCCACGTCGGGCTCCCTGCATGGAGACTGCTTCTTCCTCGGCCTGTGTCTCTGCCCCCCCCCCTGAATAAATAAATACATAAATCTTAAAAAAATATATATTACAGGTAAGGCTATATTTAAGGTCCATTTTGTCTCCTGAAATGGAATCCCATCTAGAGGCAGTTTGATATGATAGAGCTAACTGGTCAGTGTTATAAGGTATCAGTCCTGTGGCGTGGAGGGCAGCATAATAATCTGATCTAATATTATGAAATAATTTGACCATTGGGTTGTAAATCCACTTTATTCTTTATGAAGAGAGTCTAAAACTGATCTTTCATATCTCCCCAAAACATTTACTCCTCTGGAATTTAGTATTTTAGTGTTTAATGCTCTTGGGAACTCCAGCATTTAGGGGTGAAGAAATCAGGAGAAGCCAGAAAAGAAGACTGGAAAGGAGAGGCAAGAGAGGTGGGAGGACAGTCAGAATGACCATGTCCTGGAAGCCAGCTTCCATTTGGATTATTTAGGTTTCCATTTACTCACAGTATGTCTTTATTCAAAAAAAAATATGTATTATATAACTATTGTCTTATATAATTGCATATATATAATTTATTCATAATAAAAATTACATGTTTGTAATATATGTATATATACGTGTATATATACACACACCCATACATATGTATACATACATATATATGTATATACTATCATATAATTATTAGTCTGTGCCAGGTACTATTTTAGACACTGGAGGGACAGATTTTGAACAAGAGAGGGAAAGCCCTTGCTTTCATGGAGTTTATATTCTGGTGTGGGAATAAAGAAAACTTAAAATAATTAAGTAGTGATAAATCATTCAAGTTTGGACCTGAATAATAAGAAGGAGCCAGTGATGGAAGAAGAGTATCCAAGAAAGAGGGAAAAGTAGCATCAAGACTTAAAGTACAGACAAGCTTGAGGTGCTCGAGGAACGGAAAGAAGCCAGTGTGGCTGGAGCTTCCCAGGGGAGATGAGCTTGCAGGAGTGAGCAGAAGACATATTACATACATAGGGCCTTATAGGCCTGGGGAAATAATTTAGATTTTATTCTGAGTATGATGAGACATCACTGAAGTGATTGAAGCAGAGGTACAACTGTACAACATTTTAAGTATGTGAAGAATGAATTATAGGGGAGAAAAAAGGGAGGAGGAAGATCAGCGGGAGGCTGGTGCAGTGGTCTGGGTGAGCAATAATGGCCCTTGGTCTTGGGGGGTTAGTAGAACTGGAGATGCAGAAAGGAGATTGGTTCAGAAATTGGCAAGGCTATGTCTTGCCGACCCCATCTCCCAGCCCACTAGTGGGAATACACAATATACTTTAGCCTCCTGAAGTTTCTGAGAAATTCTGCTGTTTTAAAAAATGTTTACTGCATTTTCTAAGCTTTCTATATTATGAAACTCTTTGTATCCTGAAATCCATATTCATATCCTGAAGAATTAGTGATTTATATTAGAAAGTACTAGTGTATGGGAAGAACATGGTTTTCGAAGGTTTATATCCTTTTTTTCTCCTCTCCTCCATCATCTGTTAATATTCAGTAAGAACATGGGTAGCCTGGGTGGCTTAGCGGTTTAGTACTGCCTTCAGCCAGGGGTGTGATCCTGGAGACCCGGGATCGAGTCCCACGTCAGGCTCCCTGCATGGAGCCTGCTTCTCCCTCTGTCTCTCTGTCTCTCCCTCTGTCTCATGAATAAATGAATAAAATCTTTAAAAAAAAATTCAGTAAGAATCAATGTTCTGAGGAACATACTTTGAGAAGTTCTGCTTTAATGCAGCCTTTAGAGCCTCTCATCTAACAGGAGGTATTCCTCCAGTTGAACCCTCCAATGGAAGTTCTATTTCTTTTTTCTTTTGGGGTACTTCATAGAAAACCCCTATTTACTAATGAATGGCACTTAGTAGATCTGAATTATTCTACATATAAATTACTATACATGTAAATGTCTGAATTACTGCACACAGAGTTACTTGGTAAGTATCTGTCAGCTTTTTCTACCTTCCTCTGAAAGCCCACATTTGTTGCTAGTATACTTTTTATACTTGGTTCCTACTACCTTGATTCATTGTTGTTTAGTTTATATTTCCTACATTCCTATCTATATTAAATGCTTTTTGGCATCATTTAATGTAAGAAACATTCCATTCCTTCAGAGCTATGTGCTAGTGGTAACAATGATGAAGCTAATGCTGAAATACATACTTTTCTTCTTTGAAACCCTTATGCCCTTTGCATAGAGCTGTTGGATAATGAGGATAGTGATGAAGGTATTGCTAAAGTAGACATTTTCTCCCATACGTATACTTTTAAGAAGATTTTCCGAATATCACTAAGGAAGAAATCCAAATAGAAATTGGCTACCAGGATAGCACATTATTTGGTTTTCCTCCTACCTCAGTAGCCTCTCCTTCCTAGTCTCTTCTTGGTTCGGCCTTATCTCTTCAATCCCTAAATACCAGAGTTCCTCAGGACTTACTCCTAGAACCGGTACTCTATCCATCTTCTTCCTTTGGTACTCTCATCCACTTCTGTGGCATTAAATCCACAATGGTATAAGCCAATACCTATTTGACATCCCTTATTTTTTTTTTTTTTAAGATTTTATTTGGTTTGAGAGAAAGAGCACAAGCAGGGGGAGCAGCAGGTAGAGGGAGAAGAAGCAGGTTCCTGCTGAGCAGGGAGCATGATGTGGAGCTCAGTCTCAGGACCCTGGGATCATGACCTGAGCTGAAGGCAGACATTTAACCGACTGAGCCTCCCAGGTGCCCCACTATTTGACATTCTTATTTGTATGTCTCCGCATTTCAAACCAAACTAGTCTAAAACTGAATTCCTGATCTTCTCCCTTGGCCTTCTCCATCTCAGTAAATGGCATCTCTATTTTTACAGTTGCTTAGGCCAAACAAAACCTTTGTAGATTTCTTTCTCTCACTTCCCATATCTACTACATTAGCAAATTCTATCAATTCCACCTCAAAACAATACTTTCTAAAATTGGATCATTTGGGGGGCACCTGGGTGGCTCCGTGGTTGAACGTATGCCTTCTCCCTCTGCCTATATCTCTGACTCTCTCTCTGTGTCTCTCATGAATAAATAAATAAAATCTTAGAAAATAATAAAATAAAATTGGACTAATTTTAATAATTCCTCTGCAGATCCAGGCTACTATCGCTTCTTTCCTGGATTATTACATTTGTCTCTCAATTGATGTTCACTACTTCTGTGCAAGGGATTTTCAACTTCAGCACTGTTGATGTTTTGGGCCAGATAATTATTTTGGGGGCAGTTGGGGGGCTATCCTCTGCATTATTAGATGTTTAGCAGCATATCTGGCCTCTGCCCACTAGATGTTAGTATCCTTTATCCCTATTGTGATAACCAAAAATGGCTCCAGACATTGCCAGATGTCTCTTGGGGGGCAATATCATCCCTGATCTAGAACCACTGCTCTAAACCTGATCCCCACATTCCCACTTTATTTTATCTCCTCTTATTCCCCCTTCACTCCTTTCCCGTCACACTGCCTCCTTGCCTTTTTTCTAACACTCTGGACATTCTCTTCCTAGGGCCTTTGCAATTGCTTTCCCTCTGCATGGAATAATATTTCCTTACATATTCATAGGCTCACTTCCCCACTTTCTTCCCTTCTTTACCTAAATGTCTTCTCAGTCAGACCTCTTTGAACCCCTAGTACCCACTGTCAGTACCCACCTTCTATTTCTTACACACCATTTCTCCTTTGCCTACTCTGTTTTTCCTATTTACTCATGGTCTCTCTTCTCCAATTAGAATGTAAACTTCATTGGTGGTAGATTTTATTTGTCCTGTTTTGTTTGCTGCTCTATTCCCAGCATCTAGCACAGTACCTGACACATAATAGATGCTCAATTAATATTGACTGAGTGAATGAAGAAAGTCTCTGAAGTAACAGTAATATTAAAAAGACTTTTTCTGTTTTATTGATAGCTCAGGAGCTAGTCAATGACTGGTTAGATACCAAACTTAAGCAAGAACTAGTAAGTGATGGTGAAGGTGATGCTGAAGACACTGTGTCAAATATCCCTCCTGTGCTGGAAGCCAGTGGACATTTGAAATATGACAAGTTTGATGGTAAGAACTTGTCTCATTGTTCTAAGCTTTTAATCTAATGAATGTATCTAAGAGGTCTTTTTAATGGTTTTAAAAAATAAATGATATATTATTTGACTTTTCTGGGTTTTACTTAGTTTTATTTTTTTTTAATTTTTAATTTTTTTTTTAAATTTTTATTTACTTATGATAGTCACAGAGAGAGAGAGAGAGAGAGGCAGAGACACAGGCAGAGGGAGAAGCAGGCTCCATGCACCAGGAGCCCGACGTGGGACTCGATCCCGGGTCTCCAGGATCGCGCCCTGGGCCAAAGGCAGGCGCCAAACCGCTGCGCCACCCAGGGATCCCTTACTTAGTTTTATAATTGGCTTTAGTTTTTCTTGGTTCAATATAAATTATCTATATCCTCAGTAAGTTCATGGTGTTTTTAAAGTTAAAATATTCTATTTGTAATTCTTCTTATGATTATTATAGCAATTAATGCTCTGAATATCTCTTCCCATATATTGTTAGATGACTCTTTACTTTGAAGGGGGCCATATTTAAACATTTTATATTTATAAAATGTTTCATATCCTTAGGAGTCTATTGCTTGTACACAGAACTAGTGTGTGAGGGTTCCTCGAATATACTCAGAATTTGATTTGTTTTACTCAGCATAAAGGTAGGCCTAGTAATGGTGTAGGCTGCTCCTCATGTGTGACTCCTACATCACTGGTAAACTCCTCTGGCAGTATTCCCCATGTTTAGGACTCTACAGAAATCTACAAAATCCCCAGCCCAGGAATGACAAAGTCTTGAGCTCTTAGCTAGAGAAATTCTTCAAGAACACCTAGTCGGATCTCCCCTCTTCACTTCGTCAGCTAGAGATCCTTCTGTAGTATCCCTCACATGGGTTGATATAATCTCTGCCAGCACATCTCCCAGGATAGGAGGAGCCCAGTCAGTTGTTATGGGGCTCTAATCCTCATACATTATCTCCCAGGAGAATAAGGAGTTTGACCTCCGAAACTTTTACTTTTTAGTGCAAGAGAAAATATATTGGTTTTTCATGTGAGAGATATAATTGTATATCTCATATGTCGTGCTTCTAGCTTAAATATACCAGCTTACTCAACAGTTCTTCGTATCACATTGTTTCTAATCTTATCATGCTGGTTGCCATCTTCTAGATGTTTTCTATTTATCAATATCATTATTAAATTGAGGCATTTGCATACTTCATATTTATTCTGAAGCATATATGGAATATAGTGAACTATTACTTTCAGATGGTGCTAGTAGATGTAGTTATGTTTCTTAGATTGGCAATTATCATCTAATATCATACCAGGCCTCACTCATCTTATGCTTGTAGAGTTTTTTGTTTTATTTTCTTGGTATTTTTGGATCAAAATTGAACAAAAATATTATGTAGCCATTAAAAAGGATGTTTACTGAAAATATTAACATGTGATTATCTCAGTAAACACAGGAAAAATACTTGACAAAATCTAACATCCATTCCTGATTAAAAACACACAGCAAAATAGTAATAGAAGGTAGAGTCCTCAACCTGACAAAGGGCATTTACAGAAGAAGACTTATGGAAAACAAAAACCAAAATACTTTATCAGGAATTACATCTAATGTAAATAGATTAAATATTCCAATTAAAAGACAGGATTGGCAGAATGAATTTTAAAATATGACATAACTATATGCTGTCCATAAGGCACAATTTAGATTCAAAGACACAAACAGATTGAAAGTAAAAAGATGAGAAAAGATATACTATGCAAGCAGTAACCACAAGAAAGTGAGAGCAGCTTACTCATATCAGTCAAAATAGGCTTTAGGATAAAAAATTGTTACAATGGCCAAAGAAAGGCATTTTATAATGATAAAGGATCCACTGTCAAGAAAACACAGCAAGTCTAAACATATGTACACCTAATAAGAGCCCCAAAATACCTGAGGCAAAAACTAACAAAGTCGAAGGGAGAAATAGATAATTGCACAATTCTTCAAATTATCTGGAGACCTCATACCCCATTTTCAGTAATGTATGGAACTAAACAGAACATCAATAAGGAAAATGTTTTCATCATTAGTCATTGAGAAAATGCAAATTGAAACTACCTTGAGTAGGTACATACTTACCTATCAAAATGGCTTATATCCAAAGACTAGCTATACTTACTATCGATGAGGATGTGGAGGAACTAGAACACTCCTGTACTGCTGGGGAGAATATAAAATTGTGTAACCACTTTGGAAAACAGTTTGATAGGTTTTTAAGAAGTTAAACAGCTACTTCTATGATCCAGCCATTCCACTCCTAGGCATTTGCCCAAGGGAAAGAAAAGCATATGTTCATATAAAAAATTGTACACAAATATTTATAACAACTTTGTCATAGCCAAAATCTGGAAACAGCCCAAATGTCCATCCATGAATGAATGAACTAAATTATGCTATACCCATACAGTAGAATACTAATCAGCAATAGAAAGTAATAAACTATTGATAAAACACCATAATGAATCTCAGAAATAATTATGCTGAGTAAAAGAAGCCTGATCAAAAAAAGTACATAGTGTATGATTTAATTGATAAAAACAATTCTAGAAAATGTAAATTATAGTGAGAGAAAGCAGGTCTGTGGTTGTTGGGATAAGACCGAGAACATGGGGAGGAGTGGGAGGAGGAGACTGCAAATCAGCATGAGGACCCTTTTGGAGCTGACAGACATGTTCCTTATCTTGATTATAGTGATGGTTTTATGGGTAGATGTATATATCAAAACTTATGGTAGACTTTAAATATTTACAGTGTATTGTACATCAATTATACCTCAATAAATCCATTAAAAGAAAGAAAAAGCCATGTAGTCTTCAAGGATGTTTAGACTGAAGTAGTAGCTTTTACATTTGGCAGTGAAGGAGTCTTTAGTGACTTGGGTGAGGATAATTCCTCATGAGTGGAGGGTTGTTTTTTTTTTTTTTTTTTTCTTCCTCTCAGTTGAAGGTAGTTAATTGCTCAGGGCTATCCTCATCCAGTTGGCATTATCAGTTACTATTTATTGAACACTCACAGCTTTGTATTTTTATTGTACCAGGATTATTTATATAAATATGGAAATTGTACTAAATTTTAAAAAATTTTCCCTTTTTTTGTTGTTGCTCTGTCTCCCCCAGAGTTGTGTGGCTATTTGGAGGAAGAAGAGGAAAGTACCACTGTTCAAAAATTTATAGACCATCTGCTCCATCAAGAAGTGGTAGATTCTGGAATGTTGGAAGATCTTGGAATGAATGGAAACCAAGACAAGCAGCAGCAGAAGGATCCTCGTCTTACCATGGAGATGAGACATAAGCAGGTGGGAGGGAAAAACAAAATTAAAATGGGTAACAGGAAGCAATCTTTGTGTAGCACATTTAATAAGCTTAAATAAAGACTTAGGCTTTATTATGAAAAAGGGTGCCATCTGTGGTTTGGTTAGAAAGAATAAAAATAAAATATAAGAACTTCAGAAGAAAAATAATGCTCATAAACTGAGGACAGGAAACAATTTATTTAAGAAAACCGAAAAAAGGAATAATTGATTTTGAACAATGGAGTGGTGAACTAAATTTTATTAGTTTGTATATGGTACTATTATAAATATGTAGATTGGTTTTTGCTTGAATTTGATTTTTGAACTGTGACATCAAAATATTAATATCATGAATATTCCAGTGAATGTTATAATGATAATTCTTTTCCAGACAACTGAAAAATTCACTCATTTTGTGATTATAATTTGAAAGGGAGGACAGATCTGAATTAAATCTAGTTCAGCTGTTTAGAATTAGAAAGGCATATGGGAACTTTCTTTTCTTCAAAGGGAATAAATAGTGGGTTATAGAAAAAAGATGCATCTCAACTCTTTGTAGGGAAGCTTCAGGAAATCAGAATGACCAAGTCTTTCCCACATGTCCAGAACTAAGCCTGAACTAGAACGGATGTCTGTACATTGTATGTTGTCTTTCAAAACACTGAATTTCTGATTGCTTTCAAATATTAAGGTATGCCAAAGCACTGAGGATGTTAGAAGAAGGGATAGAAGTATGATCCTAGTTTGGCTTTGTGATAAAAGGGAGGAGAGGAGGTTCAATAAGAGATTGTCAGTATCTAGAAGTCTTATCATAACTGGAGAGTAAGATAAAGTTGAAGGTAAGTGAAGTGGAAGGGAAAGGAGCCCTCCTTAATTCATAGCTAGAAAAGCCTCTACAGAATTAATAGGTTTGAAAAATTTTGCTTATTCAGAAATATCTGAAAGTCATGGTTTTGACTTCCAAATATGAACCAGAATCGTTGATATATTTAAATAATGATAAAAGTGAGTGGTGTTCCTCATGGCACTAAAGTATTGTTGTATCTTTCACGATGCAGCCTCCCCAGAATATCCATATTCTTTCTTAAATTATAATCAGAGTGCACACAGCAGTAGTGTACACCTTGGAAAATATTAGGGGTGGGAAGTCATTATTAAGAATCCAGAACTTGGTGTCTGACACACTAGACTTTCGACTTTTTCATGATGCAAATCATTCCCAGAGTGCTGGGAGCCCTCTTACCTGACCTCATCTAGACTTGTATTGGTTCTTACCCAAGCAAAGAAGGGATTTCTTCCTATTCTTCCAATGAACAGTGGGGCTTCTGGGCCAGAATGTTTCAAACTGGGCATATCGTGAACTTGAAAATGTATTCTAAGCTTTTGCATATCCTTTTCTATTGGAAGGCTGCATTTCACCCTCATTGTATTCTCTTTAAGGTGAAAGAGAATCGCGTGAGACGTGAGAAAGAACTGGAGCGCCAGAGAATGGAAAAGATCCAGAAAAAATCAGTCTTCTTAGAGGCTCAATGTTTGGTACAGGAAGAAAAGAAAAAGAAGGCTCTGGAGGCCAAGAAAGAGGAGGAGGAGATTCAAAGGGAGATGGTAAAGCTGCGGAGGGAGCTAATTGAGAGGAGACTTGCTGTGGAAGAAGCATGGAAAATGTAAGCCAGCCGTGGTGAGCAGTGTAGACTTTTTGTCTAAACGATCATTTTGGAAGTACTTGGAAGTTTAAAAACATGGACATTGTGATAAACAAAACACCTGAGAGAAATCACCCACTATTTCATGATCTTAACAAATTGACTGTTTACATTTTTCTGTTTCCTCTGGGTCTTGATCCCTTTACATACGTAATTGCAACCATAAAGTACATTTAATTTATTTTGCTTCTTGTAATTAACACATTGCCCAGAGTCCTGAGGTCTTCTACTATTTCTCCGTTGAGTTCCTAGACCATAATTTATGTAATAACCTTACCCCCTTCTGATAAGCATTTCAACAATTTCAAATTTTTCACCATATAATAATACAGTGAGCTTCCTTAAGCATAGAGCTTTTTATTTTCTTAGGAGTGTAATTACTGAGGTAAATGGTATAGGCCTTTTGACGACTCTTGAAATATTGCCAAATTGCTTTCCAAATGGGTTGTACTTATTTACACTATTGTTGGCAGTGGGCCAGTTTACCTACCACATTCTTCTTTGCATGGAGAGTACTATCATTTTCAATATTTTTGCGCTTTTAATAGGTATTATGTTAGTTTGCATTTCTTTGGTTACCCAAACATTAAGATTAAACATGTTTCCTTACGCACGTTTGCTAATTGTGCCTCAGCCTACGTGAATCCTGTGAGTGTCTTATCTTCTGATAATCATACAGTGTTACCATTACCTTCCAACCACTGATGAAGAGCAGGAATACCTGACATAAGAGGAGAATCAAAATAGTCCTCATAGGATATAGTACGGTTATGTAGCTTCATGCAGAAAATGAGCTTCTAAATGAAATAACTAACGTATGTATGCTGAGAAACAGCACTGATGGATGACCTGCAAAAGCCTTGGAGCAACGTGCCTGACGTGACTGAATCTCAAACACAGAGGCCGGAAAGACCTGTTAGATAATCCCTTCCACCCCCATCAGCCTACACAACTTTTCTGCCGGAATTCCTGATTGCTCTTACTCTGTCTATCCAATTTAAAACAGCTCACCAGTGCACATGTGCTTTACTCTCTCAAGGGCCAGGCTGAGGCCTCCTCCAGACCCCCTTCCTTTCAGAAAACAATCACCAGTGTTTTAGTGAGTTCTTGCTAAGGTCGACCTTACTTTTCAGATTGCTCTCAAACCCTGAAAAATCTAGGCTGACCTAAAATAAATTGTGAAAACAAGTAACATTTGATGGTAATGGGATGCTCTGCTCATAGTGGGCACTCAACAAATGTTTACTGCCCACCCATTCCTTTTAAAAGTTTGGATCTTATCCACAGTGCCAGTGATGTGGATAATACACTCTACTGCTAGCACATGAACTGATTTAAATGTTCCAGAAGGCAATTGGGTAATAAACAACAGGAGACATAACATGGTATTACGATTGACCTAGAAATTCCAATATTAGGAAAACTATAAGAAAATGGTCAGAAATCCAGACAAAAATTTGTGCACAAAGATAATCAAGATATTATTTATAATGGACATTAATAAATACTGGAGAAATTAATGAAAATGGTTATACGATGAGACAGCACTGACATGTCAGTGTTTTGTTGTTTTTTTTCTGGCTTTTATATCCAGTTTTTCACAGTGAGCAGCTATCACTTTCATGACAGATACATATTTTAATATTATTTTAGAAAATCAGATCCATAATTTTAGAACTGTATTTCTTTAAATGGCCACTATGCTCTGCCCATAACTATCTAACAACGTCATGGCATTTGGTTAGAATCAGTACAATTTTATTATTGATAGGGCTTTTTAACTTATTTGTAAGCTATCCTAAATCTGCATCATTGCATAGTTTTAAAGTATCTTCTCTAAGAGCTTTATTAATTACAAAGGGAGAAATGGCAACTTTATACAGGAGAAGTCCCCTTAACCAAGTAATGGTTAACCTCACCAATAATAAGATGTAACATTGTATGTCCTCTCTATGTATGTGAGGTTTAACATGTAGACGCTTCTGGCATCCCTCTCTCAATTTTCATTTCCACAAGTATAAAGTGAAATTCAGAAAGACAAGGTGATATGTGTGAGCTCTCACAGCTGATTTGTGGCCAAGGCCCAGGAATCCTGATTGCTGACTAGGTGCTATTTTTACTCTAGCATTGGTGGTATATATACCTTACACAAATACACATACATATACTTTAATACACTCCAGTAAGAGAGCAGTGACTGTGAGCTTGCCTGAGTTGTCATGGGGAAGACACCTGGATGAGAATGAATAGGTGGGTAAGATAGAGGATGACCAGAGAGATGAGCAACAAAGTTACTGGGCAATTCCTGTCACTTGCCTGAAAGCTTTCTTCTTTTTTTCTTTTTCTTTCTTTCTTTCTTTCTTTCTCTCTTTCTTTCTTTCTCTCTTTCTCTCTTTCTCTCTTTCTCTTTCTTTCCCTCTTTCTTTCCCTCTTTCTTTCCCTCTTTCTTTCCCTCTTTCTTCCCCTCTTTCCCCTCTTTCCCCTCTTTCCCCTCTTTCCCCTCTTTCCCCTCTTTCCCCTCTTTCCCCTCTTTCCCCTCTTTCCCCTCTTTCCCCTCTTTCCCCTCTTTCCCCTCTTTCCCCTCTTTCCCCTCTTTCCCCTCTTTCCCCTCTTTCCCCTCTTTCCCCTCTTTCCCCTCTTTCCCCTCTTTCCCCTCTTTCCCCTCTTTCCCCTCTTTCCCCTCTTTCCCCTCTTTCCCCTCTTTCCCCTCTTTCCCCTCTTTCCCCTCTTTCCCCTCTTTCCCCTCTTTCCCCTCTTTCCCCTCTTTCCCCTCTTTCCCCTCTTTCCCCTCTTTCCCCTCTTTCCCCTCTTTCCCCTCTTTCCCTCTTTCCCCTCTTTCCCCTCTTTCCCCTCTTTCCCCTCTTTCCCCTCTTTCCCCTCTTTCCCCTCTTTCCCCTCTTTCCCCTCTTTCCCCTCTTTCCCCTCTTTCCCCTCTTTCCCCTCTTTCCCCTCTTTCCCCTCTTTCCCTCTTTCCCCTCTTTCCCCTCTTTCCCCTCTTTCCCCTCTTTCCCCTCTTTCCCCTCTTTCCCCTCTTTCCCCTCTTTCCCCTCTTTCCCCTCTTTCCCCTCTTTCCCCTCTTTCCCCTCTTTCCCCTCTTTCCCCTCTTTCCCCTCTTTCCCCTCTTTCCCCTCTTTCCCCTCTTTCCCCTCTTTCCCCTCTTTCCCCTCTTTCCCCTCTTTCCCCTCTTTCCCCTCTTTCCCCTCTTTCCCCTCTTTCCCCTCTTTCCCCTCTTTCCCCTCTTTCCCCTCTTTCCCCTCTTTCCCCTCTTTCCCCTCTTTCCCCTCTTTCCCCTCTTTCCCCTCTTTCCCCTCTTTCCCCTCTTTCCCCTCTTTCCCCTCTTTCCCCTCTTTCCCCTCTTTCCCCTCTTTCCCCTCTTTCCCCTCTTTCCCCTCTTCCCCCTCTTTCCCCTCTTTCCCCTCTTCCCCCTCTTCCCCCTCTTTCCCCTCTTTCCCCTCTTTCCCCTCTTCCCCCTCTTTCCCTCTTCCCCCTCTTTCCCTCTTCCCCCTCTTTCCCTCTTCCCCCTCTTTCCCTCTTCCCCCTCTTCCCCCTCTTTCCCTCTTCCCCCTCTTCCCCCTCTTCCCCCTCTTCCTCTTAAAAAAGATTTTATTTATTTATTCACAAGGGACACACAGAGAGAGGCAGAGACACAGAAGAGAGACGCAGGCTCCCTGCGGGGAGCCCAATGCAATCCCTGGTCTCCAAGATCACACTCCAAGCCAACGGCAAATGCCCAACTGTTGAGCCACCCAGGCGTCCTGAAAGCTTTTTCCTTTTTGTTATTAAATTCTATTTTTTCTCTTTTCAGCTATTTTATAATTAATATAAATTCCACTGTCTCCTTATGCAAGAATACCTGATTCTTACATTATTTTTCCTCCCTAGAAACCTTGTAAAAGCCTTGGGGCAAAAATTTCATCCCTTATCTGAGGGCCCTTTTCTATTACTCCCTTCGAAGAAAAGAGAGAACTTATGTCTACATGAGAGCATACCTAGGAGTTGTTAACTCTCAAATTTTTATCAAAGTATCACTCAATGGTAAACTCAGTAAAAGTACTTTACCAAAATATCTATAGGGCTTTCTACTTTTCAGAGTGTAACACTCTTATTTAATCTATATTTTTTGAAGGAATAAACTAAGGCTCAAAAAAAAATCTGTTTTCTGATGGAAAATGCAGTGTTTGTTCCACAATAGTACGTTGTAATTACCCGTCGTTAAGTCTGTTGTTCATACATGTATTTTTAAAATTGTTAACAGAGAGCGGAAAAAGCAGGAAGAAGATTCTCCAAAAAATACAGAAAAAGGCTTGTGTCAAAGTGATTCTGTTCTTCTGCATGAAGAAAAAATGGCAAAGGAAGAAAAGAAGAAACTGAGAGCGTTGTTAATCCAAACATTCAAGGAAAATTGTCAGGTGGGACTTATAACTTCTCTTTGTTCAGCATTCTGTGGCATAAATGACAGAGGGCTCTATCAGAGGTGGGCCAGTATCACATGAAGCCCAACGGAACCTCACCACAAATACCGAATAGCCCACGCTGTTTGTTCTGTGCTACCCAGCTGGCCTAGGGCATGGGGCAGTGCTCCATTCTCCTGTCTGGGGTCTATTCCTATAGCTACTCCGTGTGATCTTGGGAGACTGGGTGTTAATTTGAGGTGGCTTCCTAAATTACCCTTTTCAGCATAGCATGTAACTAATGACTCATGTAGATCTCTGGTAGGTTTTGAAAGCTTGGCTTCCATAGTCTTCTGGATTATTCAGAAGAATTACTCAGAAAAATCACTTCCTTCTGATAGCTAGGATCTTAAAGCAATGATACACTTCTCCTTTTCATGGTGTGCATTTTATTTTACTCTTTTCTCCCTCTCTTTTACTTTCACTTTTTGTAAAAATTACTGGTCAATTTTTTTATTGACAAATGAGGATCCTCTCCAGTCCATTTAAGCAGAAGATTCTTTCAGTGAAGTGGGATTGACAGCAGTATGCGTTTGGGATTTATAACATTTCAGGTGAAAGGGATTACTTGGAAGATTTGTAAAATGAGAGGGTTGGCTGAGAAAAGATAAATATGGATATTTTATATTTTTTATAACACCCACCCAGAGCCTTAGGCTTTGCTGAAATTCAATGAGAGCTAGTGGAATGAATGCAGGAAAGCACAGATTTGACAAGAGAAAGGACAATGTCACGATGGTATTGAGGGAGCTTGATAAATATAGTACAGACTTATAGAAACCCTGGAAATCATAACAGGAATTTGAATATAATATTGAGAAGTGGGATATGAACAAGAGACCACAGTAGTCTTAAGAAATTTAAAAGGAGAGAGACATGGGGTGCCTGGGTAGCTCAGTCACTTAAGCATCTTCCTTCAGCTTGGGTCATGATCTCAGGGGCCTGTGTTGGAACCCATGTCAGGCTCCCTGCTCAGTGGGAGCCTGCTTCTCCTCTCCCTCATGCTCTCTCTCTCTCTCAAATAAATAAATAAAATTTTTGAAAAAATGTGGTGGAGGCATTTTGGACTGATGGGCAAGAAGTCATAATTATTGAGATATAAAACAAGGGTTTTGGTTAGAGTTTTTGCTTTAGGAATAGAGAAGGAAGAGTAGCAGGAGGAAATGTTAAGAGTTGGGATTAACATTTTGAGAAAGATTGGCAAGGACTCTAAAATGCTACATCCTTTTGGAGACCAATGGAATTGGTATGTCCCTCCTACAATAACAGTTCAGATTTCCGAAGGAATATAGGAAAGGAGATGAGTACTCAGGGGACCATTTAGAGAAGGGGTGAGGAAAACATGCCAAGAAATGTTATCCAACCAATGAGAGATGAGTAAGACACATTTTTTCCAGAAACTTAATTTGTAAATTTCAATGAAGTTCACTGTACAGGAAGAAATAATGCATGTTTTATTTTTTTTATTTTTTATTTTTTATTTTTATTTTTTATTTATTTATGATAGGGAGGGGGGGAGAGGCAGAGACACAGGCAGAGGGAGAAGCAGGCTCCATGCACCGGGAGCCCGACGGGGGATTTGATCCCGGGTCTCCAGGATTGGGCCCTGGGCCAAAGGCAGGCGCTAAACCGCTGCGCCACTCAGGGATCCCCTAATGCATGTTTTAGATAGAAGTGGCTAGCTATGAATTTTAGACACTTGTAAAGAGTTGTACAAAATTCGTGGTCTACCTATTCAGTTTTAAAAAGACCAGCCAGTGTAATTTAGAAATGCGAGATTATAAATAATCTCTACTCCATAGAGATCTGCTTGATCTAAACCTATACTTTGTTTTTAAGTGCTTATTTTGAACTTATTTTAGACTTATAAAAAAGTTGCAAAAACAATATGGAGAATACTTGAATACGCTTCGCACAGCTTTTTCCAATGTTAACATCTTATGTAAGCATATCATAATTATCAGATCTAGGAAATTAACCTCGGTACAATACCATTAGATACCATTAACTAAACTATAGACCTTATTAGAAGGTCATCGGTTTTTCCACTAACGTCCAGGACTCAGCCCATGATTCTATGTTAGAGTATACCTAGGAGTGTATACCTAGGACTCAGTCCGTAATTCTGTTTTATTTATTTTTATTATTTTTTTAAAGATTATTTATTTATTTATTCATTAGAATACACAGAGCTGAGAGAGAGAGGCAGAGACACAGGCAGAGGGAGAAGCAGGCTCCATGCAGGGAGCCCGACGTGGGACTCGATCGTGGGTCCCCAGGATCACGCCCTGGGCTGAAGGAGGCGTTAAACCGCTGAGCCCCCCCGGGCTGCCCCATAATTCTGTTTTGTATAGATGTCATGTCTCCTTTGTCTCTTCCAGTTTTGTGACAGCTCGTCAGTCATCCCTTGTCTTTTATGACCTTAACATTTTTTTTTAAAGATTTTATTTATTCATGAGAGACACACAGAGAGAGAAGGGGGGCGGGCAGAGACACAGGCAGAGGGAGAAGAAGGTTCCATGCAGGGAACCTGACATGGGATTCAATCCTGGGTCTCCAGGATCACACCCTGGGCTGAAGGCAGTGCTAAACCGCTGAGCCACCCTTGCTCCCCGACCTTGACATTTTTTAAGGGTACTCATCAGATATTTTGTAGAGTGTCCCTCAATTCGGGTTCTCTGATATTGTCTCTTGCTTAGATTGAGATTATGCATTTTTGGCCAGATTATTACAAGAAGTGATACTGTGCCCTTCTCAGTCATATCAGAGGGTACATACTGTTAGTATGCTGGATTTCTGTACTGTAAAGTTTTCATTTTTTATTTTATTTATTTATTTATTTTGAGCGAGATCAAGCACAAGCGAGCGTGAGTGGAGGGGTGGGTGGGAGAGGGCAGGTGGGAAGAGAGAATCTTAAGCAGGCTCCATGCCCAGCGCAGAGCCTGCAGCATGGCTCAGTCTCACAATCCTAAAATCATGACCTGAGCTGAAACCAAGAATCAGATGCTTAACTGGCTGAGCCACCCAGGTGCCCCTGTACTATAAAGTTACTGTTTCTCCTTTGGAATGTCTTAGAGGAGATATTGTAAAACTCTGCAAATATCTTGTTTCTCCTTAAACTTTCACTTATTAATTTTAGCATATATTGGAGGATCTTGCCGGCAACATTACTGCATTTATCTTATGATGATTTTGTACTTCGCCTCCTTTCTTCTCCATTTATTAACTGACACTCTTCTACAGAAAGAAAACCTGTCCTTTCTCCCCATTTACTTATTTATTTATTCAGTTATTCAGTTCTTTTATCAATATGAGCTCATGGATATTTATTTTATTCTGTGGGTGATAATCTCTTCCTGTCATTCTTTACTGTTACTCAAATTGTTCTAACTTTAGCCAGTCTTTCAGGTTGACTTCTTTGTTCTTTCAAAATGCTTCCATCCTTTTTTGAGCACTGCTTTTCTTCTGACACCATGGGACATTCTAGGCCCATCTTGTGTTTTCCCTGTCCTAGCCCTGGAATCAACCACTTCTCTGGTTTCTTTATGAGAGAATAGTATTTAGAAAGCAATATCTGAATACAGGATGCTCTCGCAGCTCCTGGGGTGTCACTACTCAGTAGACAGAGCTGGGAAATATATGTGGTGTATACTAACCCACACATGTACACATATTATTTCTTTGTCTATTTGTATACCTATTAAAATCCATGAGTTCATACTGACATCTGTAACTCCAGTGCAGTAATGCAGGGGTCATGCTAGCTTTCCCTCTTCCTTATGTATAACTTACTTCTGTGACTATCTGTATGCTTATTAAAATACTCATGAGTTCATAAAGATACCTTCAACCCTAATCCAGTGCCAAAGGTTTCAGAATGCCCTTCCCCCTTTGATTATTTATAATTCCTTTCTCTAGCAGTGAGAGACCTGGCACTCATTATCCAAAATATATTTATTTATTTAATCCTGATATACTATAAAAGTAGTTTCAGAATTGCTAGCCATACTGCTGTGTAAACAAGTTCACTAAAACCAGAGCATGATATTTGTACATTATTTTCATTTCTAGTCTCATTCAGCCAGAATGTTATTATTTATGTTAGTCCTCTTCTTCCCTTCCCCTCAGTGTTGCTTATGTTTATTTGTAATATTGAGTAAATCTGTAATTTTGGTTTCCCCTGTGTAGGAGTGTAACTGAGACATGGAGAAAACCCACCTACCAGACTCCTCAGGTTTTTACTTGAACTTGGCTAGAGACCTGAAGGTCCTCTGATAAATGCCACAAAGTAGCAGGCCCCCTGGGCTTGTTACCATGACCCCAGGCCACATTCCTACCCTGGGTCTTGAAGGAGCCCAAAGCTGCCCTTGGATACTGAAACTTGAACACTCAGCAGCCTAAATATGATGGCAGGACAGAAAGGGGGAAAAGGCGTAGTTGTCTTGCAGTGAGCGGCTAGATAACAAGAAACTCTTGTCAGCACCCTCGCAGTGATTCACTGGCACAAACCCAACAGCAGGCTATATAGAGGATTTGTAGGAAGACTCTGAAGAGTCTATTTCTAGGAGGAGTTCTAGTTCAAGCTCCTTTAATTCTTATAATTCTTTGTGCTTTGACTCTGAATCGTATTTGTTCCCCCAAACAATCTCTTAACATCCCATTTAGGCCAAGTTATTTAATAGACTTTCTGAGAGAAACTGAGCAGGCCCTCCCATCCAAACAGTTTCAGGTACGGCACTGTGCATGCATCTTCCCCACGTATTTCATTACCAGGTATCTTTGTTTTATCAAAAATACCTGTTTTTGTATAGAAACTTTCTACTTCCATTTTCTATTCTATTTTCCCTTTGATCTTGCAGTGAAATCTCTTGGGGAGATTCAGCAATCCTCATGTCATTGCTAATTAGCAGAAACAACAAGGGATTAACTATGAAACTCTTATACAAATGTCCTTCTTA